ACCCTCCACCACCGGACACGGCTAATCAGCAAAGGGATTTGTCACGTAAACAAAACGCCAAATAGTTTACTACTCCAGCCCACCGGTGTGTTGGAGAATAAACCCAAATTGTAAATGTTGTGGATTTACTCTCCAACACACCGTATTATCTGGCTGTATAGCAAATGAAAAAATAAAATGACTTTACTATGCAAGTAAAAAAATTGTGTTTGAATATTTACGTTTTTTTAAATTTAGGGCCACTTTAGAACATATGCTGCAGGCCCCGCACTAGCTTAATCCGGCACTGACTGTAATTGGGTACGTATTCGTAAAGCCTTCAACGTTTAGGCACAGTATACAGCTTAACATGACCCAAGTGCTATATTAAATCTAATAAACAAATGACTAACACAATGAACATTCCAAGTCAGGGCTGCATGCAGGCTTATTTAAAAAAAAAACCACACACTTTTGTATAAATACGATTTGGTGAACTGTTTACATTCCTCTTGATGGCACTAAATTCTCTGGCACGTGTCGTGACGGGTTCTGCAAGGTCCGACCGTGTCCGTCCAGTCCTCGCCGAGCTGCATTGGCTTCCGATTGCTCAACGAATACATTGTGAGGTTCCGTTCATTACACACACACACAAAGTGCTTGCCACAAATGAACCACAAGACCTTGCTGCTGATCTAGTCAAGGAGCAAGAACCGTCACGCCAACTCCGACCATCCTCGCAGCAGCAGTGGCTTTTGGCTCGCCATCGAACAAAGACGGTCACTACATCGATCGCTTTCAGATGTGCTTTAAAGAGGAGTGCACTTTTAAATCATCTAGATCAGGGGTCTCAAACTCAACTTACCTGGGGGCCGCTGGAGCTAGAGTCTGGGTGAGGCTGGGCCGAATCAAGAATTCAAAAAAAAAGTACAACTGATCCAATCTGCTCAATCTTTATTAATAATAGTTCAGAACATGAACGGTTCTTCAGAACATAGGCTTTTCTTACCTACTCCTTGCTGCCAGAGACCTGGCAGTGCTTCCTCTCTTACACAGCTGAGCCACATTTGGCTTGAGGAAGGAAGCAATTGAGACCCTCAGTATGGCTTGAAGATGCTCATCAGTAAGTTTGGACCTGTACTTTGACTTATTAAAGTGCATGGTGCAGAAGAGCTTTTCACACAGATATGTGCTCCCAAAAAGGCACATGGTCCGCTTGAACATCCTGGAAAGCTCAGGGAAGGTGGGGGGCAATTCTCTCAAAAATTGTCCAAGCTTGTCTGCTTTTGCACTCACCTCCCTGAACTTGGCTTTGAGTTCAGAAATGCACTGCAGGTCAATTAGCTCCATTTGAAGCACAGGAGGGGCATCTTGCACATCGAAGGAGAAGGGGTCAGCAAAAATTTGAAAAGTGGCTCTGTGTGTCTTGAAGTCTGCAAACCTGTGATCAAATTCCTCCTGTAGCTTTACAATGGCATCAGCATTCTTCTCACCACTGAATGGTGTGTCCGCGTCCATGAGTGCCTTGCATGCTGGGAAATGGCAGAGGTTTGTCTGAGAGAGCTGGGCTTTCCATAACACAAGTTTTGTGAAGAATGCTCTGACTTTGTCATAGGCAGCACTGACAAGCTGCCCATGGCCTTGTAACTTCTTGTTCAGTACATTCAGCTCCTGTGTGATGTCAACAAGAAAACCTAAGTCCATGAGCCATTTGGGATCACTTAGCACAGGAACAGCCATCCTATCCTTCTCCATGAAGGCCTTCACTTCTGCTCGCAACTCAAAAAACCTCTTCAAGACGTTTCCCCTGCTGAGCCAACGTACCTCGGTGAAGTAGAGCACATCCTCATATGCTGACTCTATTTCCTCTAAAAAGGCGCGGAACTGCCGGTGCTTTAAGCCCCTGGATTTGATATGGTTGATGCATTTCACAACGACAGACATCACATTGTCAAACTTCAGGCATTTGCTGCAAAGGGCCTGCTGATGGATAATGCAGTGCAGAGCAATGGCCTCCTCCACACCCTCCTCTTCCAGTTTTCTTTGAACAAGTGCCACCAGTCCATTTCTCCTCCCTGTCATTGATGGCGCTCCGTCGGTTGATATTCCAGCAAACCTCTTCCATGGTAAACCGGCATCCACAATGGCATAACACGGCTGGCGGAATATCTCCTGAGCGGTGGTCTGGCCATGCATTGGATTCACTGTGAGCAACTCCTCCGTCACTTCAACATTGTCGTCAACACCACGGACATGCATTGCGAGCTGCGCAGTGTCAGTGATGTATGTGCTCTCATCAAGAGCGACCAAGTATGCACGGAAATGTTTGGCTTTCTCACGCAGTTGATCGTATATGTTACCTGACAGGTCATAAATGCGCTCTGCCACTGTGTTGGCTGAAAGGCTGATGTTGCTAAACTGACCCTTCTTTTTCCAGACAGACTATACTTGCAGCCTGTAACATGCACTTTTTGATGAACTGGCCGTCTTTGAATGGCTTTCCCGCCTTAGCAATCATCTCACTCACCGCTGCATCACTCTCTTTGCTTTCTTGAAAAAAATCTTGTTGCCTCAGTAGACATGTTTTAAGATTGGCGACCCGGTCCTCTCTCTCCTACATATCCTTTTGCTCTACCAAATCTCTCTGGATGCCATTGAGCTAACTCTGGTGTCCATGTTACTCCACCTGTCTTAATTCTTAACATCAAGTGCATTGTTTCATGTTTTATATCTTTGAATTTCTTCCTCTTTTTGATTAAATTGTTCTTGGTAAATTCATTTTCTTTTGCGATTGCACATATCTGTCCTTTTTCCTTGTCTTTGTTTCTCTTGTAATAATTCTCTATAACTTCTTCTTTATAATGTTCAGGTTCTAACCACCATTTGGCTTTTGTTCTTGCCACCCATCTCATGCTATTTGCTATCCATGTAATTATTTTCCCTTTCCTATTGCAACACTCTGTTGTCTTTATTAGGTCACTGATTACTCTTGTTGAGTCCGCCCACTTCCTAAGTCCTCTGTACCTTGCACTGGGTGACAGGATATATTTTCCTTCCACTTTGTGTCACTCTGGAATCACGTTTCAACCAAGTGACTAACGTTGCTAATTCGCGTTGGCTAACTCGTCAACAAACACCGGAAGCTGTCACGAGCCTGAGCTATGGTAAAAAAATAATAATAATTGAAAAATAAATAAATAAATGATGTCAAGTAGGGGGCCACAAAATATCGTTCCGCGGGCCACAATTGGCCCGCGGGCCGCGAGTTTCAGACCCGTCATTCTAGATTGAAAACGTATTTCTTTAGAACTGCGTTTTGTGTTTAGTTTGTTGTCCTTCCCCGTACCTCCGATTAGCAAGGTTGTCTACGTACGGTGGGAAAGAAGTTCAACACACACGTAGTTTTCTAAAAAAAAACAATGTATGTATGTTGAATTGATTTCGCACCGTACGTAGCCACCCGTGCTAATCGGAGGTGCGTACGTTTGCAGAATCAGTGACGCCCTCTACAGCACACACTCAACCACGTACATTTTGCCAATGGAAACCATAATAACTGCAGTAACGCATTACAGTTAATAACTTGTCACTAAGTCTAGTGAGTTATTTCTGACTGGTAAGAACCAGTGACCTGTACGATATTGACAATGATTTATATTACATTTGACCTAGGTAAAACAAGTGCTAGCGTTAAACCCATGGCTTTTTGTTTTGCATATACCTACATCTAAAACTGTACCCCAATTACTCTGAATTGTATTTAGTTTAGAGTTGGGGGGAAGAAAATGTCATGATAGATTTGATCAACGCACGTGAAGGTGCCTGCACTCTGCCACTCGTGATATCAATTTGGGGGAATCTAAATTCGCAGTCTCAGTAAATCCAGGCAATTTAATGCATGCAGCAGACATCTGATGCGAGTTTCTTAAAATACTCTCACCGCTTCTGTCCACCCAGCAGTATAAATGGCTAACACCACAGTTAAAGTCGATCGGTAGGTCACGTGTAGTGGGGTACACTGTGGGTACTCATCATGGAAAGAGTAGGCCCAAATACCCTCCAGAGGCCCACCAGACCTCCCTGAAAGTGGAGGCTCATGCCACCAGCCGTAGCGTGAGCGAGTAATTACACGGTGGCACCTTTAGCCACGTATCTACCTATCTGAGTTGAAATGCGGAGTGCACATATGGTGGCTCCAATCAGCATCCGGATCTCACGGAGAAACCGATGTTCCCTGGTAAGCCGTCTGCCTTTCAAGTGAGAACCAGTTCTGGCCTAATCTGAGAACCCATTCTAAAAATGAATACACAAAGCTTACGTGCATTTCATGCAAAATAAGGCAGAGGCTGTTTCAGTGGAGTGAAAAAAAAACCCACTTCATATTTAAGTTATCCCAGCTACTTGAATTTAACTGTTTGTATGCCCCCCCCCCCCCCCTGTTCTGCATGGGTTTTCTCCGGGTTCTACAGTTTCCTCCCATAGCTAACCCCCCCTCCCCCCATACAATGCAACACGTATTGGCCAAGACATTTCAATGCTGAAACATTATCTGCAAATTATTCAATTTGAATGTCAGTAACACTGCCCCCCCCCACCCACTGCCACCCCTGCAAAAACTTGGCAGGAACCTCCTGAAAAAGTATTGAGACTCAGTGAGGCTTTCCAAGGGTAAAAAGCGAAAAATAATAACTTGAAAGGCAAATGTGCTTTTAGAAAATGATAGCATGAAGCAATCCGGAGTGCATCAACCACTGACAAATGGCAATGACATTAAACACAGAGGGAAATTTCTTGATTTCCCTGTTGGGAAAATGAATATCGAGGTCGAGAGAGAGAAAAAAAAACACAAACTTAAAACACATTTGTCAATAACACCGCCCAAAAAGGAAAACACATGTATATTAAAATAGTTGACGTTTTTTGACAACGGCCCTTCTCTGTAGATCAACCTCCCAAAAAACAAGGAGTCCTCAAAAGTCACTGATCATCATCCCGAGGCACCTTTAAATGACTGATTGGTGTATAGTTAACAATTGTTTATTTGATTTTAATATAATGCCATCTCAGAATTACACAGACTGGATAGGATATAACAATGCTGGATTTTAACTTTTTCCAAGCGAGTGTTTTAAGCTTTGCATATTAAACGTTTAATGTAAAATATTAACACAATAACAATCGTGTGTGGAATTTTAGATAAAGTGTCCTGCTTGATTGCTGAATAATGAAGAACAATTGAATAAAACGCGTCAAAGCTGGTTAGCTTTAGATTTTCAATGTTCTCGTCACATCATATTTTATGCAAAGAAGAGCATAACCAATGTTGTTCAGGTTTACAGCAGAGATAAATTGTCTTGATTCTTTACATAAATTGTGTTTTTTCAGTATTTTGAATGTTTTTGCAAACATTGCTAAGGCATCATTAATACAACATCAATATGAATATCTGATATTAATAACCCATAATTACAGTACTAATTATCTGAGATAAAAAAAACAATGGGATTGCAGTAAACTGCACGATACATTATGTTTGCAATCAATACATAGGCACAAGAACTTGGGCAAAAAGAGCGATGCCTTACAGTTATACACGCAATTAATATTTTATTACTGCATTTATCAATAGCGGAACTGAAAAGAAAGATAATTAATATTAAACACTATACTCATAACTGAAGGGCGGTCCTCTTTTAACCCAATTTACAATAGGCCTGATTGCGAACGAGCGTATAGAATGTCATTTTTAACATTTTAGCTTTTATAAACTCGAGCATCACATCAAGTACAATAATACGGTACGTGTACGTTAAATAGGACTAGTTTCGTCTGTAGCACCAAGTCAAATACGAAAATGGCAAGTACTGTCTGTATAAATCGTTCCACCAAGCATTTATCAAAATGTTCGTGTTATAATAATAAATCTTCTTGCATATATCACTTAATAATTTCCTTCCACGTCTGTCCCCAATGAAGGATAAGCAAAGGCAGCTGTGAGTTTGTGAAGGTTTTTTTGCGGAGTCATATGCCCGAGCACAGGTTTTAATGAATTCTTCCAAGCACCGTGGCAGCTTGTCTAACGCTAAGTGTGTGTTCGTTTTGCCAAGAAATGGAGAATATTTTTGTAAATAAACACGTCTTGAATGGATGCTTATTTTGTCAAAAACACAAAGGAGGCATACAACAAAGACACGACAGTACGTAGCAATGGTAAATGTTTCACATTTAAAACGTATACCCTCTCTTCCGAACCAATTTTTTTGTTAACGCGAATTTGCATAACGGAAACAACAACCATTTCGTGGCTCAAACAAATCTGTACGACTAAAGCAAGACCAAAAAAAACACTCAAAAGATGTTCAAGGCATTTCATTAACTTGTTATCTTTGTGCTGTAATAGCCACTAGCTTATTGTCACGTGGTCAAGAAAAGCCTGCCATTTTTGTTTTAAACCATAAAATGTCTAATTTCACACGTGCGCCGAAGTAAATGATATATTTATGTTGCGATCTTTAGCGGCAAAGTAAAAGCATTTTCTTTATTTCCCCAAAAATGTATCTACTACCTAAGTGCATGAAATGCGTTTGTCAACATTTATACTTTATTGTTGCATTTTCACTGTATAATCGGTAAAGGTGCAGCCTCGGAATATCCCACCCACGTGACTGCTAGCGGAAGGGCCTCCACTTCATGGAACTCTACAGGTAGATAGGTTTGCCAAATCCCTTCTAGAGGGCCTCTCTCGAGGGCATTTGGCTTACTCTTCCACGCAAGTCTCAGAAGAGATGGGAGTACCAATTATTATTTACCCCACCCACACACGACCTCCCGACCGATAAAGAGTATCCCAGTTTAATTATTTAGCGTATTGTTTCATATTGGGAGATATGACCATGATGCTGGCCTTGGTGCAGATGTGAATATCACAGTTGTTGGCCGATGCACGTGACTTCTTTTGATGACATCTAATGAAAGTGTACACACCCACACAATGTCTCGGTGACCACCTTGACAGAAGGTCTAGTAATATTTATTTTCAACTGGAGGTCAGTTTTGTCAAAACACGAGATAACTGTGGGGCTTCAGCCAGACGCTATAAACGGTCGTGGCTGGGAGTAGTAGCAGAGTGTATTACTGGGGCGGGGGGGGGGATATACTTATGGAACTGTTCCTGAAAAAAGTAAATAGTAGTCTGGATTGGAAATATCTTAAGTAACATTGAAATGCTCTCAAATGTAAAAAATAGACATTTGTCACCTTTAAACGGAACCGGAGTGCTCCGATCTTGTGCACGATGTCAGCTGTTTCACAGCTGGTGCAGACCGCCTCTCGAGAGGACGTTGTCAGATTGCTGTTCATGCTAATTTAATTTGGCATTAAAGGAATGGTGTATTTTTTTTTCCTGAGCTCATTTGAAAAATAAAAAAAACATTAAATTCTCTACATATTTCCTGTAACCGAAGGTGATATTTTTGTTGTTGTTATTAAAACATTTGTAGAAACAATTTACAGTACAATATTGTACTTTGCAGTTATCTTAGAAAAAAAAAACCTGACTTTTTAAAGCCCGTCACATGCTTCCATTTACTTATGTTTTGCCCATTGAACGAGTGTAATCATACCAAACTGCCCGCGTCTATTCACTTTTAAACGGTGGCAGCATCTCGCTCTTCGGCAGACTTCGATCATCACCAGCGCAGGGTTTTCTGCTGGCGGCAATAAAGGCACTTCAGAAACAGATCGGGGGAAAAAAAATAAAGTACTTTCAAAGGTATTCATTTAAATTCTACCTCTGCGTTTTGTTGTAATTTCCATCCAAAAAGGCGAATTCAATTGCAGTGTAACAAATAATATAACACTTTTTTTGCGGCATGTCAGGTAGTCTCATACTACAGTGGTATGAATTGTGGATTTCGGTCTGAAGTGATTGCACCCTAATTAGTCGCGGCATTCGATTCGCAAAGGGCGTCACCGTAGAATTGGTGGCTAAAAAAGGTTGAAAAACAACGACGCAATGCACGTGAGCACCGCATTAAATGTAGATAATGTCCTTTTCAAGTATGTCAAGTTTCTGATTGCCCTGTGTGGATTCTTATGGATTCTGTAGTGCACACAAACCTGATGCGAGCTGCAGTGGCATTACCCGTTCAACATTGCGGACGGTTTGACAGTAGATGAGGATACGTTTTTTTGTTTATACTATATAATTTCATCATACCAGGATGCAACATCATCACATGGGCCACGACGTCTTCTAAATCCCGGTGCTTCGCTTTGGGAATTATTGTTGTGAAGGCCACAGAGTGTTGCCATTGGTTTGGAAGTCAGTGTGCAAACTGGAGGTCGCAAGGTCAATTCCAAAACAATTACAACACATTTTTGATGTAAAGCTTTCGTGACTACAGGGATTCATATTCGTGAAAATTTTATTGTTTTATATTTTTCTTATTTTATTGTTTCCCTTCTACGTGACTTTACCGAAAGAACCAAGAATATGAATTACAACACACTTTGTTTTTACACAGCGTGTGCACGTGACTGCGTCTCAAAACACTTGATAAGAGACACAGCGGCAAGATTTACTGATGCAGAGAGACGGGAAGTCAGTCACGTGCAGAAAAAAAAAGTGAGGGGTCTTGAGTGTGGAATTGAAGAGAGGCAGGAATTCGATAGCACGGACGGCAGGGGAAAGGGAGTTCCAGACTTTTTTTTAGGGTAGTGGTGGAGGGAACAGAGATAATTTCTCAAAGGGGAGGCTGATTTTTTTTTATTTTCTGTATGTGAAGATGAGCAAAGGGAATGTATGCACCATGTTGCTCTGTGCTAGTCGTCCACTGACACCACCGTGAGGTGGATGCATGCATGGGGATGGAGAGGGTGCGACATATAGACTGTTACTAAATGCATACTGTTACTAAATATAGACTGCTACACTCTGCGAGTATATCTACAGTAGTTAAAACAGGCCCGTCAGTCGACGTACATTTCGCCATGTTCACAACTTAATGTTTGAGTACAGCCTCCACGAAGCAGTTTTTAAACGTGTACAAAGGTAAATGCTAATTAATGAAACGATTATTGAATTGTGCCTCGGGAAAAGGAAGTTTACAAAGTCTGTGACGCAAAAAACATTTTCTCCCTAAAAGCAAGATTAGATGGAAATACAGATTTTAAAATTATATAGTGGATTTTGCAATAAAAATCTCGTTTGTTTTGTAATCATCAACCGTAGTGTATACGTCGGTTACTCAAGCGTCAAATGTTTTCCCAGTTTCTTCGATAGTCTTGCCACAGGGGGTAATTTTGCGCTGGAAAGTCGACATTTGTTTTCCTCATAGAAACAAAGACAAATAACACTTAAGTTTAGCCATGCTCAGCCACGTGAAGACAGTTAAAAAACAAAAGCCAACATTACACGTGCTGATGGGAACAAGTGCTCTAATTGCTCTAATTTCTGTCGCATGGGGCACAACAACTTTAGGACCTTAGGTGTGGTGGCCCTGTCGGTGGACTTTGAGGCCCACACCTCCCACATCGGAATGCTGTGCCTGCCACCATCTCCTGTGTCCTGAGTTTTTGAAACACTGACTTTGCAGGAGCCTGTGCTCCAGTAGCGAAAGGGCCCTTGGGCCCGGTCGCCCCTGGATACGAACAACAGCAAAGGCTTTACTTACTTACGAAACGCTCGGGGCAATTTCACGGCAATAAGTCGCCAAACAATCATGACCGGGAAAACGCATTTACTCCGGAGTAACCACGGCCACTTTGTGCGGCAATGGCATTGAGAGGTGACGGGAGTTCGTTCGGTCTGTCCACGGAACGCACGCACGCGCGCGCGTGTTTTTTTAATTCACTGCGATTGGTTCACGGAGCACAATAACTTCAAGGTCGCCATGTGCACCACCGCCCTCTCCCCCGTGTCTGCGATTTGATCGGAAGTTACCGTCGCGATTGCGCCCACCAGACGGAGCAGCGATTCAACTTCGCCCAGATTTGGGCGACTAATTTGTTTACGTTGCGAAACAGCGGCAACGGTCCACAATGATTGCCGGTGACAGTTGCCGGCGAGAGTTGATGTCGTCCCCCCCCCCCAAAAAAAAATAATGCCCCGAGTGGAAGGAACTTTGGCTTTCAGTGAACGACCCGTGGAAGGAAATCCCTTTTGCTTGATGTGTGTGGACGGAGCGAGTTGAAGCCGTGGTTGGGTGAATTAGCGGGTTGCCTGGGTGACTCAACTGCGGTAAGCACAGAAATTCAGGAATAATTTGCCGCCTGTTCGAGGTCAGCGTTGATCTTGGGATGAACGAAAAAAAAACAGTTAAACAAAAACCGTCTTTACTTTTAATTTATTTACCAATTAATTTTCCTATGCGATTCGTTGCCGCACGGTTGCACTTTATATTTTGCGCGCGTTTGCAATTTACTTTGCTCGGTTGGCGTTGGCCGCTTATGGCACGTGACGGGTTTCTCTTTTCTCATTTCTGTTGTTCCATGCCCCTGGTACCGTTCCCGATCCGCTGTCATGTGCACTGATGCCAACTTCACCGAGGGCTGATATTGGCACGTAAAATAAAGATTGATCGATTTAATGCGTGGATAATAGGATTTTCCATGGATAAATCCGCGGTGAGGGTGGGGGCAGTCTAGCTCTACCTGGGGCCTACCTATTTCATTCGTGACAAATACACACGCCTTCCTGTTGTGAGCCCTCGATTGTGTGAGGCCCAGGGCACAAGCACATTCTGAACAGTCTTTTGATGCTCCCGTCGCCGTGGCTGTGCGAGAGAGTCCACAGGCCGTGAAGGATGTCTTCATACAGGCGACTCAATCACCCCAGCCTTCGCAGACAATTGAACCTCACGTGTGTAATGTTGACAGTGATAATGTTCACCGGTAAGCAGCAGCCGGAATTAAAACGTACACACATACACAAAAATATTGAGATCTTTTTTACGTCTAGGGGTTTATGATTTTGAGACTTTTCCCATCTCTTAGCCTTCCGCCAAAAACGATACAGAGCCGCGCGGTGATTGTGTTTACGACTTGTTATGACTGCCAAGTCATGATGCTGTCATACGAGGGCTTTTCTTTCCTTCACCCTCTCGTTCCTGGAAGCATATCTTCTGAGCACCATTGTAGAAAAATAAAATAAAAGAGTGACATTCACCCAGCCACACGGCACAGCGGTCGCAAACCTTAAACAACAAGCGCCCTCTGAGACCGCTACAAAGGACCCCCACCCAGCCCCCCACTGACACGAAGCTCGGCCTATTAGAAATACAGTACATACGTATTACAGGGGCTGTGCGCCGTGTGTTCTACTCTCGTGCCATGCGTACAGACCGAGTGGAACTGTGCCAAAACAATGCGCCACTCAAATGTGGTCTCGTGCACCCACTCCCATCGTACGAGCCATTTGGGCGACAACCTCTAACCCCAATATGTTAACGATCGCGACGAATCGTCCGAAACCGAACACGTCAGGACTGAGCACGATGTGATCGACAGTACATGTTAACAAATAAAACATTGGCGGGCCAGCGTGGCGGTAACGTTTAAGGGCAGGGAGGATGCTTTCAGTTTTTGTTTGACTCGATATGAGATTTTGGTGGCCAATGGGGAAAGCTTCTCGCTCAGCGGTCAATGCGATAGTCGGCCAATGGGCTCCCCCCGCCCCCTCCACATCCCACCTATCTGAGCACCTCCACGGACCGAGAGGTGACAAACTGACGGACGAGGCGATTTCAAGGTTGTTTAGTTTGAGCACCCAAATACATTGGTGATCGCGACGAGGTAACGGGCCGACGTGTTGACTGCTCTGGCTTGCAGGATAACCTGGACTTATCGCTGATAGGATATGCGGATGTGAAAGGAACGAAAAACGAGACTGGATGGATGCATTCACTTCCTTTCTGCACCTTGGGTACTTTTGACTAAACGTGTGCTCTCTGCAGTGACACACACACACACAAGCTATCTTGCGAGCTGTTGGCCTTTTCAATTGATTAAAAAGTACAATTGTATTCATAAGTGTCCCTATCATTACGTTTTCTTACTTCATTTTGCACTATTCTCTTTGGGCGCCTAATTCGACTGCCCGACGAGCGCCGTGTTTAGCTGCAACGCAACCAAGGCGACAAGCAGCAGCCGCCGTCCGCCCGCACGCCGATGATTTCCCTGCCCAGCGCCCGTCACAGATCTGACGCTTTGGGAAAAGTGCTTCCTCGACGCGACAAGAGCACACCTCTACACGGCGCTGTCTCTGTGCGAACGTCAAGGCACGGCACCCAGCGGCTCGCTCGAAAGGTAAAAAGGGTCAGCGATCGAAAATCCCCGCGAAGCGTGGTCTTGCCGATGTGTTCGATCGGTGCACATTGCGCAATCACGCAGTCGCACTGCCGCCAAAAAGGAAATAAGGAAAACACACGGCACGATTAAAACACGTTTTTCTTTAAACCGTTAATTCCACGATGCGCGAGCATACCTCTTCAAATCCCCCTGATATAAACATTTACACGGCTTTAAAATAATAACGGAAACGGAATTAAAACTGCTCGCCGTTCAGCCGACGACGCGACGTCGCTTGCAGTTTTACGGGGCCTCTGCCGCTACAGTCCGGGGGCGGGGGCGGGGGGGGGGGATGGTGCTTCTCCATCAGAGGTTCTTCATGCACACTTGGCAGCGGCTGACGCGCGTGCGCAGCTGCCCAGCCTTGATGGTCTCGGGCGGCGGCGAATCCTCGAACTGCCGCGCCGGGTCCACCGTGGTGAGCCAGAAGCTGTACTTGTTGGCGAAGTAGTGGCAGGTGCCGCGGGCGCCGTTGCACTCGATGAAGGGAGTGGCGCGGAAGTCCTCGAGGCACGAGCCTGGCGACGCCAGCGACTGCCCGCCGCCCTCCGCGCCGGCCGCCGTGTGCTGCGGGGCGGGGGGGTAAGGAGGAAGGGAGGGAAAGAAGGAGGGGAGGGAGTCACGCACGCTGTTCGATGGCACGTCCGACGTTTCGCTGTACGCGCTCGGGGCTTCGGCAAAAGGAGCTCCCAGCAGGATGAGGCAGGAGGAAGGGACACAGTAGGAATGGGGGGGCAAGGAGGCGTGAGGGAGGAGAGAGGAGCCACTCACCATGAGGAAGGAGTAGCCGATCCAGAGGCTGCGGTATCCCGTGGGGCACGGCGGGATGCTCACGTCCTGGCTGTGCACGGCGATGGACTGCGACGGAGCCTCGCACACCGCGCAGCGGCTGATGTACTGCCGGATCTGCTCCTCGGCCACGGGCATCATGGGGATGGGCGCCGTCGTGGAGAGCCAGTAGGACTTGTCGTTGCGCGACGCGTAGTTGCACACCTCGTTGATGTTGCAGTAGACGAAGGGCATGGTGCTGAAGCGCGGCAGGCAGGAGCCGGCCATGCCTGCGATGGGCGGGCGGCAGTGCGACAGTGCGACAGTAATACGCACACTCAGTGTCTTCTTCTAAGTTTTTGTGAATTATTTTCACCCACTTGTTTCCCGGTTGTGCTATCAGATTCATGTCCTAAGCCATAGCATAAATTCTGAACTCTTACAAAGCAGCGCAACGCTTCTTGTTAGAAAATGCCTGCAGAAGTGTACATCACACAGATACTTCTGAGATCCCTTCAAGTATTTTCCAACCCACCCTGGCAACGAGAGTAATGACATTCAAACTGGGATTCAATTCTCAGAACTGGAACGTGGCCAAATTAATTAGTATCGTCTGTGCCGATTAATGAACAAACCAGGGCAGGTGGCACAGTGGTAGAGTAAATGGCTCACAATTGGAAGGTTGCGAGTTAAAATAATGGTTACGGTGGTGGGGGGGGGGGAGTGGACTCAGCCCATCACCCCCCTGGAATATCCACCCATGGCTCTACTTGGCTGCAAACCAACGAGCAACAATGCCTCAACGCTTCCGTCGGAGTGGGGGAAATCACTCCGACTCGCGGGAGCCGCATTGAGCCGGTACGGGCAGTCGCGTGACCATACGCACCCAGGTCCTGGTTGTGGGACTTCTCGCTGCCTTCCACATACAGCAGGCTGAATCCGTCCCACACCCTGGCCATGCCCACGGGGCACTGCGGAACCTGCTCCGTCTGGCTGTGCTTGACGAGCAGGAAGCCCACGTTCACGCCACGGCCCGGCATTCCGGGAATGCCCACGGTGCCTGCATTTCCCGGAGAACCTTCACGGCAAAAGGGAGTGGGGGGAAGGGGGTGCACGCGAGAGGCGAAGGGGAATGATTGCAGAGATCTGGAGTTGGAGAACACCTCGAGAACATTCTGACTGTGTGGTGATGTTCGTGCACGATGCCGCGGCCGTTTTGATTTAGTCCTTGAGGCTGCCGAGGCGGTGGTGGCTATACGCATGTTGTCTGTGTGTACGTACGCATGTATGTATGTTGAACTTCTTTCGCACCGTACGTAGCCAACCGTGATAATTGTCTGTGATTCTTTGCACCTCTGACTCATTCTTTCCCTTTCTGAGTGAGCTAATAATTAGCGCGTTCCAAATTGAAATGATGATTTATTAGAAATGTATCTGACACTTTCCAAATGTAGATCGTATACGTTGTAAATTCCAAAAGACCTCAGTGGGCTTTACCAGATAAATAGGATAATTTAGTTTACTCTTTTTAATGACGTCACGGGATCTTTCACTTCCACTGCAAGCAGATGATGCACAGTATTTTATGGGTAATACGCATCGCGGTATTAACCAGATAGAATTTCAGTAATAATTTCAAATTGATTTATGTTGTTGTAGTGATGCATCGACTCCTCAACTAAAATTATTCTTATGCTCAAGGTATACATGGAATGAATCGTGCGGGTAGCATTTGATTATTCAAAATGTATGCAAAATATATGCAGCCAATATACAGTCTAACGTTGCCGTTAATGCGGATTAAGCAGACACAACTATCAAAACGAGACAAGAAATGAGAAATCCTTGAAGAAAGAGCAAACATGCGACAAAAAATAAAGAATTCGTTATGGAATCAAACAACGACTTCAAATTGTGACAATTCATGAACCATTACTCGCCAAATACAGACTCTCTCAAAACATCACTTACCTTGTGAGCCAACCTGGCCTGGTTGCCCAGGGATACCTGGGTCTCCAAGGCTCCCCTCTGGGCCTGGCAGGCCATTCAAGCCTGGCTTTCCTGGATATCCTGGGCTGCCCTTTTTGCCTGCCATACCACAATTACACAGTGCAACACAGTCAGCTTTGGATACCCTCATGAAAAGCTCCGGACATTTAATCTTGCAGCGAACATCCTAAAATCACAAGTAACGTTGAAAGATGAGACAGCTCTTTTCTTATCAGAGTTTCAGCCCTACAGTGTGTCCCGTGCTGTCTGACATGAGTTTTAAGTGCCATTGCTGCTAGGTTAGGAAACAATCAGGCCTATGCACGGATTATCTGTAACGATTTCAAACAAGCGTTTGTCTTTGGAGTTACAGGTTTCTCTTGCGGCGGGAAATGTCTTCCATAAAAATGGAGGCACAACGTAAAATGGCGAAGTGTGCAGCGCACAGTCATCAAAGCATTTATCACCGCAAGAGACAGCTGCCTGCCGAGTAGCGCACGCAGTACACAAACAATGTTGTCCCACGTTCGACGGCAAAAGCCGCATATAAGTGCATTCAAACCGCATAATATGAAGCGAATTTTGGGTAGAAACAGGTTAGCTGCATTTATGCAAAATCGCACAACAAATCGAATCCGCATAAAGCGAGGGAAAATATGTAATCTGAAAAGTTTATAATGGCAAAGCAACATTGTACTACGTGTTTTTCATATCGGATTATCTTTGCAAGAGATACTGTGATCCCACGTTATAGACGGACAGACTGATCTAAGGTATCGGAAAGCATAAAAACGTGTTCTGGGCCTTTCCTAGGCGACCAGAGTTGGATTCCCACTCACGGCCAACACCACTGACAATTCTCCGAATCGATCCTGGGCCTCTCCTAGGTCGACTCAGCCTTAAATAAGTACCTGGTGTGTTGTGTAAATATCAGAAATGGGGAGACACAGGCTGCCGGGCATGGTGCTGGCCACCCACCCGCTCTCATGTGCTGTGTCGGCCTCCCATAGGTGTTTGTTCACGGCCCTCGTTTCAACAGCCTGTTAAAGGCTATATGGGGGAGCTTCGTCTTTGTGTCTGTGAGTGTGATGAATGGGAGAAGTGCTGCGCCGTGGATTTGAGGCTAAATTGAGCCGTGGGTGAGCTGCCATGATCCTCGAAGTAACGCTCTCTTCTGCGAGCAAAACTTCTGGATTGACTTTACCTGCAATCATATTTTCAGCTTCAGAATCAGACCCAATCAAGGCCCATTGAGCTATTAAGCTATTTTTGATGGGTGACATCCAGCTTTGGCACGAACCTGGAATGAACAGACAATTGAGGTACATCAAGAGCACACGAGCTTTTGGATCGGTGAGTACCGCACCTGCGCTTCCGGGAAAGCCTGGTCTTCCGGATTCACCCTCCTCTCCCATGGCTCCAGGTGTGCCTGGGGTTCCAGGGATTCCGGGAGGAATGTAGATGTCTTCTGGCCTTGGAATTGGGCCAGGAGGGCCTGGAGGGCCTGGTGGCCCTGTTTAAAAAAAATATTGGCCGTTAGTGCTCTACCTCCGTGAAAAGATTTCGCTTTGAGAACGTACAAAAGTTAAGCACAAAATAAATCACTAGCGTTATTGCGGAGAATATAAGTAACACGATTATCTTAGCAGACAATGTGTCCCTGCATATAAACATGTCTGATGCTCCCATACAATTTTTTTTTTACAAAACCCATCAGCCTCGTTGCTTTCTGGGAGTGCATAATTACATTAGCATTGACACATTATAAGCAAAACTCCGGACTGATGAGACACTGCACGTCGAAACCGGTTTTGTTAAATTTAATTTTTTTTTTAAAAGATGGTTTCAATTATTACTGTCTTTGCATATTATTAGCATACAGCATTAGTACCGTAATGTGTATTTTGCCATACAGTTCTGTCACATTAGTAATGTTACATATTGACATTTTTAAAAATATGTTTGCATAATCTTGATTTGAAGCTGTCGTGACTGCAGGAATCCATACTCTTTGGTTCTTTCGGTAAAGTCACGTAGGTAGAAAAAATAATATATCACCTACGTGACTTTACCGAAAGAAACAAAGAGTATGTTTGCATACTTAAACGGTGTATATTGTTAATGGAACAACAAGCCAAATACAGAAATGCGATTGCTGAATGACACTGCTTCTACAGTTTAGTGTTACTATTTCACATTAACTACAGAAAATGCCTATAGTTTGTTAAGTCACGTGCAAGTACTGAGCTATCACTGTGTATTATTAAGCTGTATTCATATTTATTTATCGTCTTTCGCTAGCCAATACAAGATAGCGGTGCAAAGATACTCAAAGCTACAAGCTTATAACAGTCATACAACAGCGGCACACCTGTGTAGGCACCAGAAATATCAAGGGAAAAATTACCGGCACATTCTACAACCAAATTCTTATACACTGAAGCCACTAACAAGTGTAAGTAATGAATGATTTAACGTAATAATTCACTGTATTTTTTTTTAATTTAAAATCAACTCGAAGTGAATTCCTGCTCAAATGAGCATTGAGGCGGTGCTCATCTCTTATTTACAGGCCTGAGCCGTTGGAGGAAATTCCAGATTCCTATGGCAGGGGCAAGTCTATCAATAGGAGAATCAACTTGTCCACAACACGGTAGTGCTAATTTTATCGACCCACTCAGCCTCCTGATTGCAAGCCGCCTCATTCTACCGCTGAGCGACCCGTCCAGATATTTTAAGAACCGGCTCCTAGCCCAGGCGTGCCCCTGTTTATGGATAAACCTGGCATGCGTGCGGTGTGCATGTCGGTGGTGTGCTCACCTACGCATCCTGAAAAATCCCCACAATGAGAACGACCACAAAGGGAAAAAAGGGGATTTGATGGATGGATGAGACACAGGGCGGACGGGCAGAGGATGGAACACAACATGCGTTTAGGGTTTCAATGAGGGACAAAACAGACATGGTGAGCCGGGGGAATGGGAACACGCTTTGGGGCAAGATAGCAAGATTTTCAAAAGAATGAACGGCTGCGAGCGAAAACCTACACCAGTGCACCCTGCGACAAATGCGTCCTTCGTAGAGTTAACGGCACGCAAAGCTGTGCCCGCCTGCAAGGGTTTTCCCAACATTGAATGGAAAGTGTTGGATTCGAACGCCCTTTGTCGCAGAATGCACATGGCACGTTTTCCGCAGAGTTTTGAATTCAATAAAAACTCTTGGCTTAAAATCAATAAATCCCTTAAAAGTTATCAGGCAATACTTCGATTAAACCAGAACATGAAGTAGAAAAGTGGTTTGGATACATCACAAAAAAATGCTGTTTTGTGATAATTGGCAATTAGAATTTGTTTTACATACGCACTCAATATATTGCCTGATTAGACTTTCAGAAGTTCAAAGAAGTTCCTTTCACCAAGCAAGCAACCAATTGGAGTATGATATGGAAAAGCAAATTCAGTGATATTTACCACGTCTTCCCCACGACAGAAACACGCCTCCAAACAGACTCTCACAAACACTCACAAACATCCAACCGTTTACATATTATGCCAAGACACAATCAAGAGCACCCATTCATTCATGAACAGCCACACATTCGCAAACACCAGTCAATCATATGACAAATACGTATATGAAGTATATTCCAAAATAAATATTATATTTGCCTACTGCCTTATTTGGCCTTGCAGACTCATACTTTCCAGCAGCAAGTCATCTAAGCAGCAAACTCTGGACTGGTTTCAAGTTTATGAGTCTCTTCAGCAGGGTGAGACCTGCAATAAGAAATGCTCTTCCACCACAGTATGAGAGAGTGCTTTTGCCAATGACATGTGGCAGCACATAAGCATTTGTCTAACAGGCCTGACTGCTGATGAGACTCATCATTTTCGATTTAAGTCATTTGCTTTAGTAATACAAATGCTGCTGGAAACTATTAATATGGACGGCCCATACGCCAACATGCACAAAGTAAGTTCTATTTTATGGGGAAAGGCGGACTGCCCTGTCTGTTCATTGTTAATTCTTTAATAAACAGTTCCATTCATAACACATACATTCATACACACGCACTCAAATGGAAAAGCATTAAGCTCATAAACACACCTAATTACCAATCCTCTTTTAAGATTGTGCGGGTTAGAGGAACTCCTTTGGGCATCTTCTGTTGCACAATAAGAGCAGCAACATAAAAACACAATGGTCCAACGAAGGAAGGGACAGAGACATGGGCAACGGAACGATGGCGCCAGACGGCAACGCTTCCGCACGTGCCATGGCACACATGGCATCATCATCGCATGATATCGAGCAGAGATTTCATGGATGCACAATAAGGATCGCCGACATGCCGATCAATGCAAAGCAATAGAATGCGTCAGGATACACAAACACACACATATATATAAAACATTGTGATATATATACACTGCCAGCATTTTTTGAAGTTTTGTGGAAAATTACCGGAGGCGATTGTGCTTCGTGTGTGTTTTTGACGCGGGAGTTCCGTACCTGAATTACCCATGGCCCCTTTTGTTCCCGTGTATCCTGGGTCACCCAAAAGGCCATCTCTGCCAGGGAATCCCATTTGGCCAGGGTCTCCTTTCAGACCTGGTCCGACACAAAGCAAACCGCGAACCGCTGCCGCGTGAGCATCGCACGCGCGTACGTTTTCAGTGGCGCAGTGGTGAGCGCGCCGTGCTACAGACCCGAGCTCCATACGTATCCACGTCCGAGCATCAGTGGCGAGTGATTTCTGAGTCATGGGCCAACCCCCTTTCCGGCCGACCTGCACTGGGCAGCGTGGTGAGGTATGGTCAGAATGACCTCCGTGAACCACACAGTATGGGGTGGGGGGTGAGGGCGCACTAACCCAGCCAGTGCACATCCTGTGCAAATCTAAATTGCACTTTTGTAACTGTGTACAAATGTCACACGTTTTGAGTAAGACTGATGATTATGTTTTGATCGTGTATTATAATAATACTAATAATATAAATGCGTTTTATTGAAGAGGCTTATTTGTAGCTGCGAGTGCAGTCCAGTACAATCATATCTAGAAGTTTAATGAGCTCTATAAGTGGAAATAACACATTCCAATACCAAACTTTAGCCTGTTGTCATGAATGCTGGATGCGTTGTGCACGAGCTAGCAGCTAGCAAGGCAATTGCATCAGGTATTTAGTGCCACGCAAGTGAGACAATTTAATGTCTAACAGCAACAACAGTGGGTTTATCATAAAGCAGGGCAGACAAACTGTGTAATCGCAGTGTCACTATATAATTTAGGCCTAAACTTGCAGCAATTTGATTGTTGCGATTCAAGGTCGCGATTCCATTTAAGAATCGATTATCTTCATTCTATTCTAACCGTCTCATTCATATTTGTCTGCGCAGTTTCGTTTGCTTAGTTCACGCTGAGTATAACAATATCATGTCGCTGCATGCAATTTTTATACATTGAAAACAATGGATTCTTACGTACCCATATTTTACGCATGTACCACCAAATGCAAAGATGTGCATTCTATGCATCGTTGCACTCTCAATATAAATACTCTTGCCCCATATGCAAACAAGCTCATTGGATTTTACTAGACATCTGTGTAAAAAGAGCTTCATAGCTCATCGAATTCCTCCAAGATCAATACATATTCTGATTAAGATTTCGAACAGATATTAAAAGCGAGCGAGTACCCTTTTGCCCGGAAGGACCGGGAGGCCCCGGAATCCCAGGAAGACCATCGTTCCCGCGGAATCCTGGCGGCCCTTGTCCTCCCGGTATTCCCGGGTATCCTGGTTCTCCCTTCTCGACCTGAAGGGACGGAAGTCCGGGCGCTCCGGGGGGCCCTGGGCGACCTGGACTCACGGACAACGACAGACGCTTCATCTCGACTGTTGCTCGGGTCGCTGTCACATCCAGGGCTTCATTTCAGCAGGAGCTACACTGGGCTGAGTTCCAGAAAATATATCCCCTGCCCTCCAGAAAGGGTTGTGGGAGGAGGAGGTGGTGGTCCGGGGGATTCTGAGTTTGGAGGACGTCAGGAAATATTCTGTGAGAAATTTAGCCCACCAGGCATGTTGCATTTTATTATGTTACAGCGCACAGCATCCACTTATTATTATTCAATATTGAGCGACATGGGTAGCAAAGACAAAGATTCCCTGTATAGACTTACCAGGCTGTTGGGGCAAGGATAGTCTCATTTGCAAGAGTTACCTGGGGCATTTGTCTGGCAGTAAGGGAGCGACAACCCTTTGCACAACGGCTTTCTCTTGCAGATGCCACGTGGCATGGTCACAGTTATTACGCTCGCAGTATCAACCGGGGCGGCCTGTCGGATTCAAACCGCGAGCCTCTGCGGCACGCGGCACGCGGCGAGCGCGCCACCGCTGGGCTGCAACGCCACCCCGTGCCACCGCTGGGCTACAACGCCACCGCGTGCCACCGCGTGCCACCGCGTGCCACCCCGTGCCACTGCTGGGCTGCAATGCCACCGCGTGCCACCGCGTGCCACCGCGTGCCACCGCGTGCCACTGCTGGGCTGCAAGGCCACCGCGTGCCACCGCGTGCCACCACGTGCCACCGCGTGCCACCGCTGGGCTGCAACGCCACCGCGTGCCACCGCGTGCCACCGCGAGCGTCTTACCTGGAGGTCCGCTTGGACCGGGTGAGCCGACGTTCCCAGGCGGGCCAGGACGATCTCCGGTTATGAAGCCAGGTTGGCCCGGAGGGCCCGGGATGCCGGGCCGGCCATTCGGACCTAAGGGGTGAGAGGGTGCCGTTGAGCGTGAAGGCCGTTTGAACGGATCATGCAGCGTTCAGCATAAAGCCTTAACTCGAACCTGGACGGCAAGGGGATTCGGGTTTCCCACCGAGCTGGTCTGACCGGGGTTTGAGCCGCAATCACGGAACTGGAATCTGCGTTTGGGTGGCAGGATTTGGATTGTAAAGAGATTTGTTGTAATTTTTTGATAACAGACCTGGCGCCAACTGAGAAAAATTCCCGGGTTTGTTGGTCCGTGGTGAAACAGGTGGCGGCAACCCTGCCCATAATGCAACTGTGAGTACAGGCAGAAGAGCCCTTTTGTCCATCTACTGCTGGATGAGGGCCTCCCCACACTGTGCGGGTCATCAACAATCCGGTCATAGCGGGTTGGTGAAGGTGGGGGATGCATAGACATGGCAGCGTAGAAGTACAGTGCAACAATAATAATACTCTCATTCTATATAGAGTAATTCATGTTAATAGCATCCCATAACACCGTACATTAATTATATGACCAAATCCCAGAAACAGCCACTACACAGCAAATGAAAAACCCCTTCGACCAAAGCAAAATAAAAAATGAATACACAAATTCAGAAAATGTCACCAAAACAAAAACATCTCAAACGACAAAAAAGGTGACCACAACAAAATAAATGGTTGCGGCCCCATTACCCTCCGCCGGTTACCATGTGGTTCCAACCCGAGCAATGAACGGACAATAGTATCGTGAAAAATTATAAAGCGGCAGCCCCTCGTTGTGCTCCACTGGAGCAGCCAGGCTGCCGGAAGGACCGGAAGATTTTGGCAGCGCCGGCGTTTGGCAGCTGGTGAAAGGGGGTCGCCTGGCTTACCGGTGCACCCTGCGGCAGAGGGTGGTGGGTCCCGGGCAGAGATGCGGCGAGTGGGGAGACGGAAGGACGAGGACGGGTGGATGGAGTGTGTGTGTGTGTGTGTGCGCGCGTTTGTTTTAATGTACACCGGGCAAAGAGGGGCATGAGAGAAAAAGAAAAAAAAGAGAGAGACACGGCCAGCGTTGTGAACCACGAGACTCGGCACACGGGTGATGCCGTGAACATGCCGCCGGCACGCCAAACGATCAGTTTAAGAGGACGGTTGCAACGGACGCCGCTATTCTATGTCTCCGTAGGTAATCGACGAATACGTTAAACAAACAAACAAAACAATCTGCGTTATAAACGTGTTCTGCAAAACCCCACATTTTTGTTTTATTCGGGCCAACACCGCTCACTTGCCGTGCAAAATATTAAATGAATTATTGTGCCGCCTCCCCCCCCCCAAAAAATACAAAAGTCTATTTTTAAACGTTTTGCATTGTGTACAGTCTGGAGGCTACCCACATGCCAAATTTCAAGTTTGTTGCATGTCGGGAAGTATGCTAAACATTTCGAACAGACACACACATTCACAAATTTCCCTTTTATATATAGATGTAATAATTTGTAAAATGTATTTGATTCAAAGGAAAATAAAAAAAAACGCTTCATATCACGTGACAATACTCTGAAGGTGAATGAGCCTTAATATCTGAAGGAATACTTGTGGGAAAGGCAAAAACATAGAATGATTAAGGTGACAAAATTAGACACTTCGAAAATGAAAGAACCCAGGGACAAAATTTTAAGAAATGCAAATGAGGCATGCAGTCCAGTGCACACATTTCTTTGAACTGAGCAGAACATAACTGTGAGATGATGAGTAATTCACGTTACAGCAAAGGACTTCAAAACAAGGGCAGTTGTTGGGATATTTTACCGCTGCCATTAATTTATTGTATTACTTAATTTGACAGACAAGTGCTTTGTTAGCTCATTCGTAAAACACTTGTGAGCACCAACATTTCTATAGCTAAGGGTCCGGCAATGCAAAATTTACACTTGAAAGCTCAACATTAAATTCACTGGAAGTATATGTGATATAAAAATGTCTGTGAATGTGTGCTCATTTGCAAGTAGCATGTAACAATTCAGCCAATCCAACCCACCTACCTGATGATGAATTTTCACGATTCAAGTCAATAATTCATTATTATTTTTGTCTCACTTGGTACAATTGTTTAGTCCGTGTCATATTTTCCATCAGTGTTGTCTCGTTTCATTCCGTCCGCCCAAGCGCAACGCTTAGCATATCGTTTGCGCACAATCTGTATACACCGACATTTGCATAATTCCCAAATGCCCAGGACAATGCTCGTGTCATTACTGTACGATTCAATTTTGATCAGTCAATCGATTAATTGTGACGCAGTCTCTATGCACATTTACAAATGTATGTACAACAAGACTACGACTTATTGTAGTGTGTCTTGCTAAAGGCACATGGGAGGCATATGGACGTTATCAAATACACACGAAAGTTTACGCAAAAGCCGTGAACCCCACAGGGTGGACAAGTCCCGTTTATTTGTGCAACCAGGGTGAGAACTCCAGATAGCGGGATAGGAGTCTCATTTTGCGGGAGTGACCGGGGGGGGGGGGGGGGAGGGGGGGGTCAACAAAATGACAAAAGCAAAAAAAGCGAGTAAAGTAAAAGGACTGCCGTACCTGGGTCGCCCTTGGACCCTTTGAGGCCTGTTGGCCCGAGCTCGTTACCCCCTCTGCCTGGCTCCCCCTCCATTCCCTTCAAGCCTGGGAAGCCTGGTGGCCCGGGCAGACCTGGCTCAGACGGACCTGAGGAGAAGAAGAAGAAGACGAGGACACAGGTAACAGTCAGGGGAGAAGAAACACGACTGTGGGTGGGCCAGGATGGCGGGTGAGGGCCCTAGGTTTGCCACCTCTCGAGGTACAAACAACCGGGACATTTCATGGGAAGAAGAATGTCTCGCGATAGCGGGGCGAGGAGAGAACTGCGCGTAAATGCGTTGTATTGGGTCACGTGTTATTGCTCAAGTGGAACGTCTGCTGGAGATGTGTGCAAAAGAGCTTTACAGCTCATCGGATTTCTCCAGTATGAATGAACATTGTGATTATGATTTTGAAGTGACAAAAATGGAGACTTCTTTTTTTTAATGTCCCTGGGAAGACTCGCAGATTTCCCAGGACAGCGACTCCAACGGGAGGACGATCCGGGGAAAAAAAGACCAGGACACGTGGCAACCGTTGTTGGGCCTGAGAACCTGCTCAGCATGGGCGTACCTGACCACACGTTGATGGGGAGAGTACCGAATGTAATTGATTTGAATCACCATAATAATGTACAGCCGTTTGTTAATCCACTGGTGGATGAACGCCTCCTCAGACCGTAATAGAGTCAAGCGAACAAGGGCATTACCTTGTGCCCCTGGAGGGCCCTTGGGTCCTGGAAGCCCATTCAAGCCATGGAGGCCCGGAGCCCCAGGGAAACCTACAAACAAAACCACAACATTGTAAATTATTTTAAGATTTTAAAACAGAGCCCAGGGTATGTGCTGGGCTATTGTAGAGCGGATAAGGCAGCTTTGGGACTCATGAGCTGAATTGGCCAAATATATCCATTCATAGGTCGTTAGTTTATCTGTCATTTTCCATTGCTCACATGCACTGCATATATATTAAGCTTTCAAATGGTGCATCATTCATTCAAACCGATGGAATGATCTAGTATGAGTTATATGGGTGTCCATACCTACAAACTTGTATCCTGTGCATACATACTTTAGTCACTCATTTTGTTGATATGTATGATCTCTTACAGCACAGGTGGTTCAGCAGTAGAGTTCAGCGGCTTATAATTAGAAGGTTGCGAGTTCAAATCCTAGCAGGGGGTAAACTTAGCCCGTCATCCCTCGGAGGTCATTAAATGAGCAGCACGGTTTTGGGAAGTTAACAGCGGTTGTCATATGGATAGACTCGCCCTGGCCATAGGAATATAAACATTCCACCACTGGCTACGGGGTGTAAACGGGAGATGAGCAACCGGCTCAATGCTCAATTGCGCAGGAAAAAAAAACACTTGGACTTTGAATGATCTCTTTCAGATAAATGTCAGAAAGCCAGAGCGCCACGGTATGGCATGCGAGTGAGGTCACCGTCAATGAGTGTAAACTAAACTACGAAACTAAACTATTTTTTATTTTACCAGGTAAGGTCTACTTAGCTATAAAGTTCTCTTTCAGAGGCGACCTGGCTATTACAAATGATAGCTCAACGAAGTTGGCTATCATTGCATGTACATCTACACAAACCAAATACTCTGAACGCATGTTTCTGAACGCGGAGGGAAAAACCGGAGGACCCGGAGAAAAATTTACGTGACTATGGGTTAGAACATGCAAACTCCAAATATAAAGGCGTTGTGAGGGTAGGGATGGAACCCACGCCCTCCTGCATACCAGGTGAGGGAGTTCACATCTCGTTACAGTGAGATGTTAACAAAGTGCGCAACACACCCTTTGAGCACGATGTGCCGGACAGGGCGATATTTAGGACGCGCGGGACATGGACCCACCTTTCTGGCCGGGGCCTCCAGGAGACCCAGGGAAACCCGGATTTCCGGGTTGTCCATCCAACCCTGGCCGCCCGTCGAATCCGGGCATTCCCTTCAGCCCGGGGAACCCTGCAGAGAGAACACGATTGTGATCGCATTGCTTTTGTTTGTTTGCTGTCGTTGATCAATTGAAAAAAATACCAGTAACAGCAGCGGTTCACAAACAATGTCCACAAAAGTTACGTACTCAAAGCGTTACTGATATATATACTTCCGTTTCCAAATCTTCACATGAAAATAAAATATTTTTTAATCTGATGCACCACTAAGCAGATAAAACCTGGCGAGACCAAAGGGACATTTGGTGGTGCAGGGCCCACTCAAGCGGCCTCCCCTGGCGCCAGCGGCGCTGTGACGCGGCTTTGGAGCGAAGTCTGCTCGGAGCGGGGCCTACACACCAGGTTGGCCAGCTCGCCCCGGGTCCCCGCGAAGTCCATTTTCACCGCAGGCGCCCTGCTGGCCATCGCTGCCCCGATCTCCGGGCGGTCCGAAAGAAAAACTATCTCCTGGGGGAAAGGCGGCGACACGAGCAGAGGTAAAAGCGGAAACGCGAGGGGATCAGGCGAGACAAGAACAGACGATGAGAGTGAAACTTGAGCGTGGCCAGCAGACTAGAACGGCGGCAGAAGTGTTACACAAGCAAAGCGGTCAGTCTTCCCCGCCACCCCCCCCCACCCTCGCATACAGCCGATGTCCGATAACACTGTAGGGCAAGAGCTGTAGTTTTACATCAAGGTGGCCAAACCAGATGATCGCGTCAGGAGCCGCGGAGTGGTGATTCATCGCTGGGACGATGCCTCATCCTTGGTGATTATCAATTGGGCTTTGAGTCGTTCCATACTCCATGGTTCTATTCTAGGTGGTGACCACAGTCACACAGCAACGCACACTGCTGGAGGGTTTTGAAATCTCCATTTGCTTCATCGCTGTACTTTATTGCGTTTGGGTTGCTGTTTCCAAGTCACGCTTGCAAATAACCCTTTACCACACCATTGTGTGCTAAATTTAAGCCTATTATAATTCCAATTGGCATGTATGTTGAACTTCTTTTGCACCGTACGTAGTCAACTGTGCTTACCGGAAGTGCAGGGGAAGGACAACAAACTAAACACAAAAATCAGTTCTAAAGAAATTAGTCTTCAATCTATATGATTTTAAAGTGCAGTGGCCATCTTTGTTCCATGGCTAGCCAAAAGCCACTGTGAAGTTGACCAGAGTTCGCATGATGGTTTATGCTCCTTGATGAGAAATGTTCCATATGGTAATACATTGTATCGTATCAGCACAGGGATGTGATATATGAATTCTCACCATCCACACCACGATTTCCTTTCTCTCCTTTGCGGCCTGGTGGCCCAGGGAATCCCGTGGCATCACCAGGATCACCTGATAAAAGCAAGATCAAACAGTCGCACGTTAGACTCAACATCGCAGGATATGACATCATCATCAACATCAACCCGAAACAATCCACTGCCGGATCAAGGCCTCCCCAAGCCACTGCCACATCTCTCAGACCTGCGATGCTAAATAATCCACCTGGTACTCGCACACGAGCTGATTTCATCGCTCCATCTCTGCGGTAAGAGCAGGCTTGACCATGCTACCTCCCTTGGCTGCCACTCTCTTATTTATATCAACCGCAGGCCAGCATCCGTGACAGCGATGTGTGCCGTCCCAACCCGCCGACTTATCTAGACGGTGAAAGTGACGAGCACGTGCTCCTTCCGTCTCAGCGTAATCCCCAAGCGTGCACCTATTCATGCAAGCTACTTTGGCATGCCCTTCAGCTTTTATTTTCTAATGCAGATCGGTATAGCAACTAAAAAATAATATAATAATCATATATCCTTGGAAGCAAACTGTTTCTCAGATACAAGATAATATGTATATAATTTTTTTTACTGGACATCTGTGAAAAAAAAGCTTCATAGCTCATCGGATTCCTCCAGTCTAAATAAAGATTCTGATTCTGAAACGACACAGAACCTAATTCTAGATTTGAAGCTTCCGTGACTGCAAGGATTCATACTCTTTGTTTTTTTTCGGTAAAGTCACAGAACCTGCAGACATGTTATGCAATGTACGGAAGATGTGCACAAATTCTTACTCTGGGTCCATGATGTAACTGCTCATTGACTGATGCGATTGAGACGTTACTTTCCTATTTTTGGTGCATCATTGAGAAATTGGCCAGTTTACTTAAACAGAGGCAATTTAAAAAACAAAAATTCTTCCATATTTATATTAAAACTTTTCCTATTGGCGTCACGTGAAGAAAACGAGATCATCGCTATTCATTCTGAACTCTCGCACCACGCCACGTCAGACAATGGCCTCCGAAAGTTGATAACAGAGTTCCGTGTAGCCTATCCTGCGCTTTGTATTGCAATCCCTTCTTGGCCTTGCCCCACCGTGCCTCGCTTCGTTTCATGTCCCCTCCCGTCCGCTCCACTCTCAATCTCTCCTCCTCCTCACCGTTCCCCCCTCTCCTTGTGCACAATCACCGCTTCCCGCTCCTTTTCCCTACTCCCCCCGTTGCACTGGAACAAGCTTCCCCGTCCACATGAAGCGAGAAGCACCCTCCCCATCGAGTTTCCGCTCCTCCCTCAAGACCCCCTCCTCTTCTCCCCTGGCCCATCATTCCCTCCACCCCTAGGCACCCACCGTGATTCCCGTACCCACTAAACCTCCCTCCCCATACCCCATCCCTATTCACCGTTTCACTTTTAGCTACCCTCATTATACCAATCATAACCCTTGTGAAGCGCCTTGGGTAAAGCGCTATATAAAGATAAGATAAGATATCTCACCACTAACCTCGGGAAAAAAACACGACGAGGAAGGAGACTATCTGTCGGGTAACATCTACAAAATTTTATTTTGATGGTGACTTAATACAAGCGTATAACAATGGCGGTTCTTCGGGAAGCGCTAATGGTGGCTTGCAGAATGCAACATTAGGCTGAGGGCGTTAACAATGTGTTGTGTGTTGTTTGAAATCGTGGTGCCCATCTCTGACCAGCCGACTCTGATGGCGAGGTGGGACAAGCCGTAAGAAGGCAGAAAAACCATAGCGGGAGAAGAAAGGTAATGAAGATCGAGGGAACAGGGTGGAGACCAAGAAGCAGATCTAGGCATCGAGGGGTGGTTTTAAATGGTGAACCAGGCAGGACTGTGTAGTGAACGAGGGCACCGCGGTGGCGAGATGTCAACTCCCTCGCCTCATATGCAGGAGGTCATGGATTCTATCCCAACCCTGACCATGCCTATATATTTTTGCATGTTCTTCCCACGATAGTCGTGTGGACTTTTTTTTTTCTCGGTCCTCTGGTTTTTACCTCCAAATGTAGAATCAACGTGCTTTTAGGGTATTTGACTGCTATACATTTCCATGTGATAAGTCACTTAATTGAGCTATTATTTGTGGCCAGGTCGCTCCTAAGAAAGAACCACATAGCTCAGTGGGCCTTACCCGGTAAAATAATAATATTGTTTAAGTTATACTTTAAATAAAAAAGGTGTTTAGTTTAATAGTTTAGAACAGGGGTGGGGAACATTTTTTGTGCCAAGGGCCATTTGGATATTTATAACATCATCATCTGCGGGCCAAACAGAATTATCAAAGTAAAAATTAGCCTGTTATATTTGGTGAAACATTTAATTAACTCACCCCTAATGTGATGGCTGGAACTGCTTCTCTTTGGCGAGGTGTATGATGATGTTAGCTGGTTTTGATGATGTTGCTGCAACTCGCAACTGCTTTTCCAGGTTTGCTCCTAGATTTATTGAATTTCGAGTCCCGCCTGCGGTTGCCTTGCAGGGCCACACCAAATGATTTTGCGGGCCCTATACGGCCCACGGGACGGACGTTCCCCACCCCTGGTTTAGAAGATGGCCCAGGATAGGAGTGAGCGGTGAGAGAGGAGCAGTGGGAAGGCAGAGCCCAATTGTGCCGGGACAATGTCAGGGTGAAGAAGAAGACAACGATCACAAATACTGGCAAGCGTCGACAAGCCTGGAGGTCAAAGTGCAACGTGCGACCGTGCGTTCGGACCTTTGATGCCAGGCGATCCTGGGAAACCTGGTTGCCCTGCAGGGCCATAGCTGCCCGGCTGCCCCTGAAAATGTAAGGGCGCACAATTAGCGAGCACACAACGCAGTTAATTGGGAAAGGCGATAATGTTGCGGGAACCTCCTCGCGGAGAGATTTTTGTTTTCCCATACGGCGAACCGCGTGCGAGATGCACAGCGTAACAGACAGACAGACGCTTGTGCATGATATAAACATTTTACGTGAAACAATTTTTTTTTTATATATATATTAAAAGCCTGCAGCCGGTCCATTGCTTTATCCTGAGGCTACAACAGCATCAGCTATAAATGTTCCCAATTAATTTTGTTCATGCAAGTGTACAGAGAAAAAAAGGCTACGCGCAGTCTACAAGAAACAACAGCATGCTCCACAGGCAGTGGTCATGCAAGTGGTCCAGTGCGCTGAATTAATCACAGCTCGCTCCCTCAACCCCTCACTCAGCGTGGATCATCATCAGCGAGCCCCTCTGGACACAGTTTTATACCAGAGGGCGCTGGCAAAACATTCCCGCGATGGCTTCAGCTTCTCAAGACAAATGAACTCGGAAAATGGAGATGCACTGTTTTATTTTTATGGAGGGATATTTTTGTTGGGCTTTATCTCACTTCTCGTATTTAGACAGCAGCCATCCCACGAGTAAAATGGGATTTCTAGACAGCAAGAGGAGCGGTTGTGACGACCATGGGATTAGCACTCCTATTCATGCCACGCATATCACTTGATATCGCCACAGCCGTGTGTATAATGCACTGCGCACAGCCTTTGTTTAGACCACCAGCTCAAACAGCAAAAATTTGTGGCTGTATTATTTTAGGCAGAAGCAGGACAATGAAACAACCAGGGATTTATTTCTTACTGAATATTTTTCTAGACATTGATAGACTGAGGATCGTGGCACGTGACCAGGAGTAGACACAGCCATAGCGAGAGGGATACTGGAAGAGGTGTGGCGGGTGTGGAAATATTTTTTCCAGTTGGCCGATTCAGACTGACCCACCTGAAATTAAGCACTGGTGAAAACTGTATACTGGTTTCATCTTTGTTCGGAATAAACTAAAACTATAAAAATATGTATTTTTAGCAGGTATTAAACCAGGTAAGGCCCACTGATCGATGTAGCTCATTTCAGAAGCGACCTGGCCACAAATCATAGCTCAATGAAGTGGGTTATCATCGTGTGGACATTTATGGCCACGGAGAGAACACGCAAACTCCAAATATACAGGTGTCAGGGTCGGGATCGAACCCACGACCTCCTGTATACCGAGCGAGGTGGTTAACATCTCGCCATCCTGGCACAGCCATCCCCTGCCGCCCGTCGCCCCCCACGTACCTGCTCCCCGACCAAGCCTGGGAAACCCACGATGCCGGGGCTGCCTCTGGGGCCAGGGAACCCAGGGGAGCCGGGGCCACCTTGGCGGCCAGGGTCTCCGGGGGGACCTTTACTGAAATTGGGGCTGCCTGGGCGGCCTGGGGACCCGGGGCTTCCAGGGAAACCGGGCATGCCTTCATCACCTGTCGGGGTGGCAGGTTACGGAGGCGGGGGGGGGGGAGGGAGAAAAGAGAAAGGGAGGGGCGGTGATGAGGGGGGGGCGGCAATGGGGGGGGGCGGTGATGAGGGGGGGGCGGTGATGAGGGGGGGGCGGCGATGGGGGGGGGGGCGGTGATGAGGGGGGGCGGTGATGAGGGGGGGGGGGCGGTGATGATGTGATATTAAAATCTCAACGACGCTTGGTTTTGAAGGTCGCAGAACTGGATGTTTTAAAAAATGTGTTAACGGCCAGTTTACAATTATATTTACAATAATACGCTTGTTCGTGCGTACGTGTGCGTCGTTTGGGTGAGGCGGTGAGAGGGGTGAATAATTGTAATTTATTTTCGGCAAATATATATGATAAATCTATTTTTCCATGTGCAATCATCAGTTCGTGAAATCATCAGAGTCTCGACAGATTTTTCCATCCTTTTACCGCGGAAGTACCGCGGGTTCCTGCTTGTCGTTTGTAATAAACTCCAATTATTAACCAAGGAAAGTCTCAGTGAGCTAAGATAGTTTTTTTTTTCGGGAGGACCCAACATTGCAATGTTTGGCTATTGCCGTGAATGAGTGACTTCACCCCTTAGGGAGTATCTGCAGAAAACCCCTAGTGTTCGAGGTGAAATCTTATGTTGAGTGAACTGAAGTTGAAAAACTGAGGCAATCTTTATTCATTCTGGAAGTACATTAAAGAACCAAACAAGGCGATCAAAATGTGAAATACAATTACACAATTACGCAGTATCAACTGGGAAGGGAAACCGGTAAAGCAATAATAGTTTTCATCCTCTTGGTTCTTTCGGTAAAGTCACGTAGAATGGAAATAACATAATAAAGATAAAACATAATAAAATAAAATTCTCACGACGTTTCGGCCACAACACAAGTAGCCTTCTTCAGGCGAAGGGACAGAACTGCCGGGACGACAGCGCTTCAATGAACATTGCTAAGCTTCGCAGCGTCTTTCAATATCGTGTCGAATTGGGAAAAAAAAAATATATGTACATCGCGAAAACCCTCAGCGTTTCCGTGTCAGCCACTTCGACTCACCCCTTGGTCCGGTGAAGCCCGGAACACCTGGCGAACCCGGATCACCCAGATCTCCACGTAGCTCAGATGGTAGAACATGTGTAAAATCTCCTGGCAGGCCAGGATCACCGCGATCACCTGCACAGACAAGACGAGTGGCCGAGTAACCACCAGTTCGTAAACCGAGACACCCCCAAAAGCAGGGTCACGTTCATTTGCAAGGCGATTGCCCAGAGATCTGCACTTTATTCATCGCATTTATTAGTGCCGTTATACAAAATCCCTTCAAAAAAAAAATCTGCGACGCTCGTCTGATTGCTTTTTCACGATTCCTAGATTTCGTGCGGAACTTGGTTTCAAAGCGTTTAATGTAGACGTTGCTCCAAAGCTTTGGAACTCACCTCCCTGGGGATCGCCACTCTGCCATCACTTAAACTCTTCTAAACAGTCATCATCGAGGTTGAAAGGATACAAAAAATGCGAATGGACGTAATTGTTTTGTAGGACCATTTGTTTTTTCTTTACTTGATATTTTTTTTTAAATGTCACATCTTGTTTATTAACTCTTGCTGCCCGTGTCCGTCTGCTGGCCGAGTCGAAAAATATCTGTGTAGCTCAATGGGTAATTTACTCGGAGAATAAAATTATGATTCTGATTCTGGTGACAAAAAAACCGCAGCGAGAAGGGAATTATGCTGGCAATTCTTTCTGGGCCTTAATACTCATGCACGCATCTGAGGTGCACAGGAAACCGGGACCTATAATGGGAAGAAGAATTTCTCACGATACCTGTAGAGGAGAGATCCACGTGTAAACGCTATGTCTGGAGCGGTGTATTATTTACGCACCTTACAACAACAAAAAATCCAGGACTTTTAATGTACAGTGAAGAGTGATATATTTCTCAGTACAGCTATTTAAAAAAGAAGATGACCCTGGAAAAAAAACCCAGGACAGGTGGAAACCCCTCTGGGTCCAACAGTCAAGCAAAATAAAAAGTCGAAGTGAGTTGATGGTAAAACGAGCATTGAGGCAGCATGATCATCTCCCGGTTAGAGTCCTGATGGCAGTTGTGCTCACTCTACATTCCTACAACGTCTATCCGGAGGACAATCAGGAACCCACCTTTTTGTCCACTGGGGCCAAAGGGACCTTTGCTGCCCCGGAATCCTGGTGGGCCGGGCTGCCCTTTTACCCCTTGGTATCCTGGGGAACCCTTCTGTCCAGGCATCCCAGGAAAGCCGTCCACACCAGGGCTACCTTGTGCACCTGCTCAACACAGACACAGACAGACACAAGGAGGCGGGTGTGGATGAAATGTTGCAAACGTACACAACGAATGCATTTCGGAAGCAGGACATTTTTTTGTCGCAAGTGTAATGTTGAATTGCGTTTGTGCAATGTTTTTGACTTCCTCCGTCACGTGGTTGTTTTTGCTCACGTTTCTATTTGCTTCATTGCTGCACTTAAATGCTTTTTCATGTGTGTATGTTGAACTTCTTTCGCACACCGCGCATAGCCAACCGTGCTAATCGGAGCTGCAGGGGAAGGACAGCAAACTAAAAACAAAAAGCAGTGCTAAAGAAGTGACTTTTCAACCTAGATTTATGCTATGTCTTTTGTCATTTTGGTGATCCTGGTCACTCCTGCAAATGAGACTGTATCCTGGTCACCTGAGTTCTCACCCTGGTTACATAAATAAACTGGACTTGACCTCCCTTTGGCTATCACATTGTATGCGTAAACTTGCGTGTGTATTTCATACCGTCCGTACGCCTGTCTGTGTGCCTTTTTGCGAGACACACTTCAGTAAGTCGTGGTTTTTGTAGTACGCCCATGAGACTGTGTCATAATGAATCGATTGACTGATCAAATTTGAATCGTACAGTAACGACACACGCATTGGTCCCGTGCATTTTGAAATTATAAAAATATTGGTGCATACAGATTGTATGCAAATTATATGCTAAACATTACACTTCAAAACTCACTATGCAAAGATTCATGGGTATTGAATAGTGAATATACTGTGGTTCCATTTCCCACCGAATATATCTTTAGTTTGTTCATCCATCAGCTTATTGGCCTTCTGATGAATGTCATGAAAGGCCAGTTGAGAGAGTCTATGGTAACATCCCAGTAAACATTGAACGTTAGGCTAACGTTAGGCCAACGTTGTCCAACCGCACGCCAAAATTGTGCCAATAACGAAAGTTTCCTGGGATGGTACTTTGAGGGAGAGTATTCACCCCACTAGGCGATTTGATGAATTTATTGAGACACGTTTGTTTAAAATTACGAAATAAAATAATTGTGTTGCAACAGCAATGAAACAACACGATAAAAATAACAACAGAAGACGAAGAATGGTGTTCGGAAGCAGGTGTCTGAACTTCACGTAGATTTGCAAAAAGAGGCTCAATTAACATTTTATATTTTACGCCCTGTCTTTTGTAAAGAGTGACACCTATCCACAGAGCGGACAAGCAGCAGCTGGGGCCAATCGCCCAATTTACTGGGTCTAAGGGAAATATGTTTTTCTCTTTGAAACTTTTTAAATTTGTTCACGTAAACTAAATGTTATAAGATTGCATAGAACTCCCTTAAGTCACTGAAATTGAGGGAGCAGTTTTGAAGTTCTGCAGACATACATAAATTCAATACTATTCTATGGACATGGTTAAAAGAAAGGGTGTAGGACCTGCGGTTACTCGCTCACGCGACTATTTGTAGAGAGCCTCCACTTGAGGGCGCTCTAGAGAGTTCCTGTAGAGGGTATTTTGGCCTACTAACTAACGAACAATTTGTTTTTTTTTTACCACGTAAGGCCCACTGAGCTATGTAGCTATTTTTCAGAAGCGACCTGGCTATCACAAATGATGGCTCAGCGATAGTGGCTTATCGCGTGGAAATTTATAACAGCCAAATATTCTAAACGCGTGTTGATTCTAAATGTGGAGGGGAAAGCCGGAGGACCTGAAGAAAAATCCACGTGACCACGGGGAGAACATGCAAACTCCAAATATACAGGCGTCAGGGTCGGGATCAAACCCATGACCTCTTGTATACCAGGTGAGGTGGTTAACATCTCGCCACCGCGGCGCCCCCACTCTTCCATGCTGGCCAGGGTTCCACTCACACTCTACCTCACCATGCGCGACCAGCCGATCTACCGCGGTGAACCCATTTATTCTGTTGGGTCGCCGCAAGTGGATGGATTTAAGAATTCCACTGCAACACCGGGAGACCGAATCAATTAGGACCTCTGGATTTCAAATGTAAACTACTATTTTTTATTTCACTAGGCAAGGCCCACAAAGCTACACAGCTCTTTTTCAGGAGCGACCTGGCCACAAATTATAGCTCAACCAAGTGGCTTTTCACGTGGGAATTTATAGCAGGCAAATACTCGAAACGCATGTTTGTAGTGTGTCAACTATCTAATAACCTCTATAGATGCAATTTACATTAACATCAGTGCCAGATTATCTTAGTAGTAAAAGTAGCATATGCTACGGGCCCGCACTTTTAAGGGCCCCGCGGTGTTTAAGATTAGCGATTTGTCGTATCATCTGGCTGTATAGCGAATGCAAAAATACAATTTCTTTAAGATGCAAGTTAACAATTTGTGTTTTAATATTTATGTGTTTTTAGAAATTTAGAGCCCCTTCATACTACTGGCCCTGCAATAGCTTAATCTGGCACTGATTAACATACCTTTCACACTAGAAGATCCAGGAACGCCATTTAACCCAGGGCTCCCTGGAGGGCCAGGAAAGCCCTTGGATCCTGGTTGGCCTGCAAACCCAGGTGGCCCTGGCAATCCCTTCATCCCGAAGGGGCCTGGAATGCCACTGTCACCAGGAGAGCCCTTCAGACCAGGCCTGCCTGCAGGTCACAGGGTTAGAGGTTAGTACACAGCATGGAAATATATTGCATGGCAACTATGAGTTGAACCAAAGGTTAATCTGATATGATACCACCAAATCAAACGAATGATTATTTACAAACTCTTTGTCAATCTACCGCTGGTAGAAGGCATCCCCCCCCCCCCCATGCCACGTCGGTCATGGGGCTCTGTCCAACAATACTTTACTACGCCAGTCAATGTGAGTTGGCAAAGAGGGCGAGAGATCCATGAGCAGTTCACATATGCCTTGTCACTGATGTTAGCCGTGGCTAGGAATCGGACTCAGCATGCCAGGGTTCAGAGTGGAATATATCCAACCGTAGCGCAACCGCAACAACCCAAATTAATAATTTAATCCTTGGCTGGATGTACAGCCAAGACTCAGCATCCATATTGAGATTTTTGTTCAAAACATTAAAGCCGGTGGAAAATTGGTTACAACAATGTATTGTCTTCCTCGTGTTAAGTATGATAACATATTCCGAATAATTGTAATATATTTCTCATTTCATTAAATCATATTCTGCACGTTAATCTATTGTACGACATAAAGCATGTCGTATAAACAATGCAATAGTTCTATAATTAATGTTAGCAAAGACATTCTTAAATCAATATACCTTTCTACGCAATTCTATTCATCCATATGATCAAAGCAAAATGCATTTCGAGATAGGGCACCACATGTACGGCAATTTAGCTTGTGCAGTTGATGAGTAACGTACAAATTCACTTGCAATTTTAATGCTACAATCGTGCTTTGCTAAATGTAGCAAAATCCTAACGTGTCACAAAGACAAAGATTCCCCTTTTAGCCTTAGTAGACTTTCAGAGAAAGTGCTGTTAGCGAGCACCTATGAAGACCGGCACGGCACACGAGGGGGTGGGTGGCCAGCACCACGCCCGACCGCATTTGTCTCCCAAGTGGGGATGTTTACACACCACACAAGGTACTAATTTATAGCTGAGTTGACCTAGGGGAGGCCCAGGGCCAGTTCAGATAATCGTCAGTGGTGTTAGCCGCAAGTGGGAATCGAACTCGGGTCGCCGGGTTCGTAGTGCAGCGCGCTAACCGCTGCCCCACCGCTCCCCCTACCGTGTCACACACAGACACACTCACCAAAACTTAGGCCGGTATACATGTTAACTGGTCAATGCGAATTACACGTGACGTGCACCCTGCACCCCGACCATAACGAGCGCGTGGTCATTCGGCATGGAGGAATGCCCACGGGCTCACGTTGGCGGTGGTGAGTTAAGTGGAGAGCCGTCGAGACAAGGAGACGGTGGAGTGAGGACACGGACAGATCGTGCATTACAAGTGGCAGTCTCGGCCCCCCGTGAGCGATCCCGTTTAGCGGTCCCCTTCGCAAGAGCAATCTCTGTGGATTTAACAACGCGACCACGTCGGAGGCGCGCCGCTCGCATCGCGCCTCGCATGCACGTCTTGCGATCGCCACGTCGCACGTACAATGCTCTCGGGCCTTATCGGAATGTTGATTTAGACTGGAACGAAGAATCCGCTTTTTCGCAGACGTCCAGTATGAGCGGGTCAGCAAGTCAATCCAGACCGCCAGCTCAAGAGCTGAACGTGTGGCCGCATTTGTTGCTCGGACGCTGGGCTTAATCTCCAGTTTAACGTCGTCTAAACAAGAACCGTCAGCATTTAAGTTGCCCTTCAACGTTCCTCCGGTTTTGAAGACAGACCAAAGCAGTCGGCACATTCGCCCGTGACGTGACGGCTTGATTCGAATGGCTGTCGGGCAGCAGAGGGTTATAATTGAGAATTTTACATTGTACCTACACGGTCTATAACCCCGAAAAAACGAATAGTGAATAACATTGGTCGTGGAAGTCTACGTATAGCATTGAGAGCATTGTACGTGAAATGTGTTGATCACATGATGCTCGGCACGACGGATCTCAAGCCTTTCTGCTCTTCGTGAGCAACGCATTTCTTTGCGTGCTGTTGAATCTATTTGTTTGCAGCCTGTTGTCGTGGGGTTTCTCTTGCATAACAATAAAGTGTCGGATTTCATCAAATCTCGGTGTTCCTGGCTCCAATCGCGATGCCAACGAAAACAACCAAGCGTGTTTGGTTGGGCGAATTGGGCGGCGCAGGAGCATTTAATCGCTTACGCTTGGCCACGAGAAAATGCGCAAAGCCGATTTGTCTTAGGGGCGAGTTTACCCCGCCAAACGAGACACGAAGCGTATAAAATGCGCTTGGCCCTTCGTGCACGAGGCAAAAAAAACAAAAAAACATCAGCAGTTCCTCAAGAAGTGCATTGTGGTTCTTTTGTCTTAGTGCCGCTGTCCAATTGAGTCGAGCAGATGTGACCGAGCAACAGGGAGCAGTCCGTGTAACGTGCACGTCGGCGTCAATTGCAACAATCCAGACTCGTGGGTACGCCGAGGTGTGCATTTTGTTTTCCGTCTTGTTCAACCACGAAAGCAGGTTAATACATTGCAGTTAGGATACGATTTGAAAGCTTAGGTTTAATCGTAAAACGAGACCTTGTGCTCTACGTAAGCGCAATCGAGTCAGCGTGCGCGACAGCCAGGGCAGAGGATGCGTGCAAAACGGGTTAACTGGCGAGCAAGTTGCTCACTTTGCAGGGATTAAAAAAGAAATCCAGAAAATATTGTCCTGCAGGAACAAAGGATTGTAGGCCGTGACCAAGAGAGTGCACCCGCGTGTTAAACAAGATTGGTCAGAGAAGAATCGGTAATTCCCAAGCACACCATCACGTCACTCGCTATGCATTTCACCATTCCAGTTACGCGAGCCCGATTTGGCCTCGGTGTTGGACTAAGTCCGACAGTGAACGAAAAAGTCCCTCGTGTGTTTTCTAATTGATCAGAATGATTGTGCCCTCAAGATATGATGGCATGGTCGATTAATGTCACAGCTCACCTTGGCAACCTGAACGAAGATACAGGATGGACACAGAACAGGAGATGGTCGGAATGGATGGAGACGCGCACACACACGCACGCATGTGAAATGGGAGACACAAAAATGGCACAGACTCGCATGTTTATGGACGCGGAGCAACATTTGTTAAAACAAAGCACCTGCGTTTCAAACGCGCCTGCCCTCAAACTTTGTGCATAATCGCGCATGAATTGAACATTGTGGGCGATGTACGTACAAGACAAGGATCTCCCGTATGGCCGGAATACACTTTTGGGGCGAGTGTTGTAAGAAAGCACCTATGAAGGCCGGCACGGCGCCCGAGGGGGTGGGTGGCCAGCACCACGCCTGACCGCCTTTGTCTCCCCAGTGGCGATGTTTACACACCGCACCAGGTACTCTTTTGAGGTTGAGTTGATCTAGGGGAGGTCAGGGACCAGTTCAAATAATCGTCTCTGGTGTTGGCCGTGAGTGGGAATTGAACTCAAGTTGCTGGGTTCGTAGCCAAGTGGGTGGCCCGTACAAGCACGAACGCACAAACACACGAGAACTAACAATGCATTTGTGGCGTTAACTCCCATATAACACGAGACGCAGACTTAATGATCATCCCTCGCGACAGTACATGTATGCTGCGTACATAGAAAGAAAAAAATCCAAGGGTAGTCTTGCGATGGTTTCTTCACGACAAAATTCGTATCGTAAACATAACGTAGAATTAGCAGTGCCGTTAAATCCCCGGCACATTTAGGCTCCTGGGAAATCAAAACGAATGCATTCCAATGGACAAAAGTATAACGCGGGCGGTGGCGTGGCTATGCACGTGGCCTATAATCCTATGGGGGTGTCGAGGAGGTGCCATACCCTGGCCCGCCAGGAGAAAGCAGTACAGCAAAGTGCCGGCTAATATCATCTGTCCATTCTGTGTGGGTTTTCTCCCAGTGTTTTGGTTTCTTTATCACGTGCATAAACACTCGTTAAATTTGCTGAATACATCTTAATGTATATAGAGGTCTGCAGAGCTTGGGTAATTGTTGGTGCAGGCTCACCGCCTGGCTACCTACCAGCCCGCGTGAGATGCAATTTGCCTGCACAATGCCATGTGAACAATATTATGATATTCTTGGTTCGTTCAGTAAAGTCACGTGGCTTTACCGAAAGAACCAAGAATATGAATCCCTGCAGTCACGAAAGCTTTAAATCAAAATTATTACGATAGTTTATGTTAAAACGTTGTTTACTTTTAAATGTACATTTTATCACAACTTTTAACGAATTATCTAATTGTGCTATTTGCACAAATAGCGTCCGTTTTGGATCTCTCGCAGAGCAGTGCATTGCCCCATGTTAGAGAACGGCCCACAGAATCGAACGTCACAGAACTTCTCCTACACTAGAGGACACAGACGGTCAAAACAATATTATCGTTATTCTTAATAATAATTGTTTTTTAAATTATCTCATTGTTTCCCTTCTATGTGACTTTACCGAAAAAAATCAAGAACATGAATCCCTGCAGTCACGAAAGCTTTAAATCAACAATATAATCGTCATTTTTTCACGCTGACATTTTGCCAGACTGAGTGGAAAAAAATACATATTTTATGATTACGTTTATGTGTGTGTGTGCGCTGTCTTTAGTCACCAGGCTAAGCCAAACAACTCACTATGCTTGTACAACTATATAAATAATGGGCGGCTGCATCCCAGATTTGAACCCAGGATCTCAGCAGTGCCAGCTCAATGCTCTGGGGCCAGGTTGTATAAATCAAACTCGAGTGAAAATTTCCCTGAATTTTCCCCTATCTAAATCAATCTAAATTCGGGGAGGGAAATGTCCGCTTAGGTTACGTTACGTAACTTAGCCCCGTCCCTTAAGCCACCCGGCCACCTCAAGGTTACATTTTCCAACGCAGTATCAAAAACAATTCAAGTCACGAAAAAGGGGCACAGGCGGCCAGAGGCACGGCACAGAGAGTGGCAGGTGAACTCGCGAGGGAACACCACGTCACCTGCTCTTCCAGGTGGGCCAAGCGGACCAGGAGGCCCAGGCGGCCCTGGGAATCCGTCACCCCCGGGAATGCCGGGGGGTCCGGGGCTCCCGGGGAAGCCTGGCTGCCCGTCTTTGCCTCGTTCTCCCTTGAATCCGTTACCGCCGGGGCGGCCGTCCCCTCCTGAGTAAGGGAACCGCGAGGGGCGGCGGGTGAACACACACACACACACAGACGCACACACGCACACACACACACGCACACACGCACACACGCGCACACACACACGCACACACACGCACACACACACACACGCACACACACGCACACACACACACACGCGCACACACACACGCGCACACACACACGCGCACACACACGCGCGCGCCGGCGGTGGGCATTCGGACGAAACGCATGCGACGCCAACGGTGCATGTGGCAGGCTGTCAAACCGAAGGAAATCGGTGCGTGCCACCTGGAGAACAATGGGTGCGTGCCACCTGGAGAACAATGGGTGCGTGCCACCTGGAGAACAATGGGTGCGTGCCACCTGGAGAACAATGGGTGCGTGCCACCTGCTGTCGACGTGCGGTTTCGGAAACAGGGTCGTGAGAAAATGAAAAGGTGGAGAACAAAAAAGTGAAAAGTGCACCAAGAACCGCGGAGAGACACATGCCAGGAATTATGCTGAGAGGCAGACGGAGGAACGCACGGATCAGGGAAACATGCGGAGGTAAAGGACACTGTCAAAACCGCACTTGGGCAGAACGCACGCCGCTGCGACAGACGACGGGTCAAGGGTCACGACAGAGTGGCGGCCGAAGAATGGAAAGTGTCCGAGAGGTCCATCCCACGCAGGAGATGGAGCAATGAAATCAGTTGAAGGTGCAGGCGCCGGGTGGAACGTTGCATCGGAGGATCGCGATGGTGATGTGAAGTACACCGCGCACGTAACAATTGTTTGCGGTTTGAAGTTGACTTCGTTGAAGCAGGCGAGAACACACGTGCGCAGCACGAGTCTCATATGTCAAGAGTGACTTGGCACACCAAAATGACAAAAGGAATGAGGTGAAACAAAGGAGAGCGATGAAGCGAATAAAAATACGAGCAAAAAGAAAGGCAATTATTTAAGTCATAAGAACGTGGGAATACGCCAAGAGCAAATGTGACGCCGCTGGTCTTCTCACCTGACATGCCGGGCCGGCCTGGCGTGCCCCGTTCTCCCTTGATTCCCAAAAATCCCGGTCTCCCCGGATCCCCGGGTTCTCCGGGAGTGGCGAACAGAACGTCGCCTCTCTCGCCCTTTGCTCCGTGGACTCCGGGCAATCCAGGATTCCCCGGCGGACCGGGCTGTCCCGAGAAACCCGGAGAACCGGGTACTCCTGGGTCGCCCCGCTCACCTTGTTGGCCTAAGTGTGAGGGTTGGGAAGGAGTGAATGTATTGCAATGTTATTAAAAATTGTTGTTGACGGTGGTGATTTTGATGTTCGTGGAAGCTGTGAAGATCTTCATGACGGTCATGAGCGTGATAATGGTGACAGTGGTGCTGCTACTGATGATAGTGGAACAAACTCTACCCTGATTTAAAGCTTTCGTGACTGCAGGGATTCATATTCTTTCTTCTACGTGACTTGACCGAAAGAACCAAGAATATGAAACTCTACCCTGGTTAGGATTTCAACTCATGGCCTCAGAATTGTGAGCTCTGCTTCCCAATCAACCGAGCTGTCTTATGTGCACGCACACAGTAACGTAACGCAGGCAGCAGCAAAGTAAACAGGGTCCTGCAGTAATGATTTACGATTGTTATTATTATAATCACTGGGTCTCAATACTCTTTGTTTAGCAGGGTCCTGCACAAGCTGTCCACAGTAGAGGGCAACGTTGAAAAGTGTAATTCAAATTGAGTCACTTACAGGTAATGTTTTTTGTAGCATTGTGATGTTTGGCCAATAGCATTTACATTGTGCGTGTTTTTTTTATAGCTTTGGGAGATAAATAGACAACCTCGAAGATTCTCATAGGGAACAGAGGGAGGACATACAAGAGGGAATCAAACCCAGGCCCTTCTTGCCGTTACCGTATTCTCCCCAGACTCTAAGATGCATATTATTCCTTTATATTTTAAAGCAATTGTATATAGCGAGGGAAAAAAAAGTATTTGATCCCCTGCTGATTTTGTACGTTTGCCCACTGACGAAGAAATTATCAGTGTATAATTTTAATGGTAGGTTTATTTGAACAGTGAGAGACAGAATAACAACAAAAAAATCCAGAAAAACGCATGTCAAAAATGTTATAAATGGATTGGCATTTTAATAAGGGAAATAAGTATTTGACCCCTCTGCAAAACATGACTTAGTACTTGGTGGAAAAACCATTGTTGGCAATCACAGAGGTCAGACATTTTTTGTAGTTGGCCACCAGGTTTGCACACATCTCAGGAGGGATTTTGTCCCACTCCTCTTTGCAGATCTTCTCCAAGTCATTAAGGTTTCGAGGCTGACGTTTGGAAACTCGAACCTTCAGCTCCCTCCACAGATTTTCTATGGGATTAAGGTCTGGAGACTGGCTAGGCCACTCCAGGACCTTAATGTGCTTCTTCTTGAGCCACTACTGGGTCATTGTCATGCTGGAATACCCATCCACGACTCATTTTCAATGCCCTGGCTGAGGGAAGGAGGTTCTCACCCAAGATTTGACGGTACATGGCCCCGTCCATCGTCCCTTTGATGCGGTGAAGTTGTCCTGTCCCCTTAGCAGAAAAACACCCCCAAAGCATAATGTTTCCACCTCCAAGTTTGACGGTGGGGATGGTGTTCTTGGGGTCATAGGCAGCATTCCTCCTCCTCCAAACACGGCGAGTTGAGTTGAGGCCAAAGAGCTCCATTTTGGTCTCATCTTACCACAACACTTTCACCCAGTTGTCCTCTGAATCATTCAGATGTTCATTGGAAAACTTCAGACGGGCATGTATATGTGCATTCTTGAGCAGGGGGACCTTGCAGGCGCTGCAGGATTTCAGTTCTTCACGGCATAGTGTTACCAATTGTTTTCTTGGTGACTTGAGATCATTGACAAGATCCTCCCGTGTAGTTCTGGGCTGATTCCTCACCGTTCTCATAATCATTGCAACTCCACGAGGTGAGATCTTGCATGGAGCCTCAGGTCGAGGGAGATTGACAGTTCGTTCGTGTTTCTTCCATTTGCGAATAATCGCACCAACTGTTGTCACCTTCTCACCAAGCTGCTTGGCAATGGTCTTGTAGCCCATTTCAGCCTTGTGTAGGTCTACAATCTTGTCCCTGACATCCTTGGAGAGCTCTTTGGTCTTGGCCATGGTGGAGAGTTTGGAATCTGATTGATTGATTGCTTCTGTGGACAGGTGTCTCTTATACAGGTAACAAGCTGAGATTAGGAGCACTCCCTTTAAGAGTGTGCACCTAATCTCAGCTCGTTACCTGTATAAAATACACCTGGGAGCCAGAAATCATTCTGATTTGAGAGGGGGTCAAATACTTATTGCCCTCATTAAAATGCAAATCAATTTATAACATTTTTGACATGCGTTTTTCTGGATTTTCTTGTTGTTATTCTGTCTCTCACTGTTCAAATAAACCTACCATCAAAATTATAGACTGATCATTTCATTGTCAGTGGGCAAACGTACAAAATCAGCAGGGGATCAAATACTTTTTTCCCTCACTGTAGGCGCCTCTTGTAAACCATTACGAGTGTGTATGTGGGTGTGACCAGATATGTATTGATACTGGGCAACAGTTTTTAGTGCCTGTTACTTTCCAGAGCATCTTGCAATCCAGGTCATACGTTAATTATTATTTTTATCATTTTCGTGATACATTATTTTAATTGAAACATGCGCGCCATTGTCAATGCAGCAGAAGCAGCGGCATGACAAAGCAATTTGTTACATGCAAGTGAAGCACATTACATTGACCGAGTCGCATTTTCTGTTGATAAATGGCATCTCATAAAATTCCACAACTCAGTTTAACAGAAAACGGTTTAAAGTAGGGGTAGAAAGGGCAAAGAATGGAGTGGCGGATGGCATATGATTTATTTTAATTCAACGCTTGAACTTTACAGCGAAACATTCTCCTGCTGGTCACGCAACTTTACGTATTTTTTTACTTTTGTTTTCTGCTTTTTCCCCTCCAAGATCATATTTCAATTGTACTCACAGCACCATTGGCAAGCGGTGAGGAGATTTTTTTTTAAATTCCAAACTCGCAGAGAGCATCGAGCTCACACTGACTACTGGGGGCCCACTTGAAGCCACTTTGCAAGTTAACTCCGTGACACTGTCACCTTCCAGAGCTGTTTTATAACACAGGGTGGTGCACTGGCAGCTGCAAGGGTTCCAAGTGGAGGCTTTCTTCTCTCATGACAGTATCGGGGAAAAGAGTAAAATGCCGTAATACGTGAGCAACAAAACGATAAACTTTAACTTTTATTTCACCAGGTGAGGCCCACTGAGCTTATATAGCTTTCTTTCAGAAGCGACCGGGCCACAAATGATCGCTCAGCGAGGTGGCTTATCGCGTAGAAATGTATAGCACCCAAAATACACTGAACGCGTGGTGTTAATGCTAGACGTGGAAGGAAAAACCGGAGGACCCGGAGAAAAATCCACGCCACCACGGGAAGAACACGCAAACTCCAAATATACAGCGGGTGTTAGGGTCGGGGATCGAACCCAGGCGAGATAGTAAACATCTGACTACCGTGGCACCCAAGAAGACTCGAGTGCGGGTAGGTGGGGTACACGTAAGGAGGAGTGCGGTGCGTTGTCATACCTGGCGAACCAGGGGACGTAATCCAGCCTGGGTCACCAGGCTGTCCCTTCGGCCCGGTAAATCCAGGCTGCCCGGGGACTCCCGGGAAACCAGACTGCCCCTTCGGGCCTGGAACAAAATATGAAAAAATACAATGACAGTTTGGATTTATAAAGCGTCTAAATGCAAGCGCGCATGAATACTCTTTACAGATAGGGAGGGAAGGATTAACATGGCCAGTCTGTGCGCTGTGAAGAAGGGTCATTGCTCGAAACGTCGCCTGTTACATACTTTAAATGTTTAAAGTACGTGTTTTAACAAATGTGCTAAGCTGTTTGTTGTTGTCTGTGCTTGTGCACCATTAACAACGCAGCAGTATCGCGCCTCCGATTAGCACGGTTGGCTACGTGCAGTGTGAAAGAAGTTCAAAATACATACACACATAATCTGTTACATCTAGAGAATGAAATGATAGTAGGCTTGCCACCTCTGGCACAAAGCAACTGGGACATATCCTGTGAAGGTGAATACCTCACAATTATGGAAGCAGAGAGAACTACACATGAGCACGATGTTGGGAAAACCAGGACCGGTGGCAACCATTAGGGGTGAATCAGGATTTTTTAGAGCATACCTTGTTCACCCATCACACACTGCAGGTCACAACAACACACCCACCCAGCCATCCAGCCACCCACCCACCCACCCAGCCACCCACCCACCCACCCAGCCACCCACACACCCACCCACCCACCCAGCCACCCACCCACCTACCCAGCCACCCACCCACCCACCCAGCCATCCTCCCACCTAGCCACCCAGCCACCCACCCACCAAGCCACCCACCCAGCCACCCAACCAGGCACCCACCCACCCAGCCAGCCACCCACCCACCCAGCCACCCACCCAGCCACCCAACCAGGCACCCTCCCAGCCACCCACCCACCCACCCAGCCACCCACACACCCACCCACCCAGCCACCCACACACCCACCCACCCATCTAGCCACCCACCCACCCAGCCACCCACACACCCACCCACTCACCCACCCAGCCACCCACCCACCACACTGCAGGTCACGACTCTTCTCTTTCCATTTCGCCCCAACGCACCACTTCACTTTGCAATTCTCTCCGCCGTCTCTTCACCCCCCCCCACCCCAAGCCCTTGCAATAATAACCTCGCTCAATTCAACCCAACGCGTCAACTCTTTGTAAGGAACCACTTTGATTATGCCGTTTGCTGCTGCTGCTTTTGGCCGTTTTGCTTGATGTTTGTTGTGGTTAGGCCTCTTCAGGCCGTGCGTACCTTGACCTCCTGGAAGTCCCGGGGGGCCTGAGCTCCCGGCCGGTCCAGGAATCACACACGGCAGGACATCGCCTGCGCATATTAAAAAGGAGAAAGCCACGACATCTCATCTTCGTATTCGCGACAACGCGGGCACCGCACGAAGTACGGGGGGTGGGCCAGACGTCTTGTGACACCCTATTTCATTCTCTAAAACTGAAAATTTTCAAAGGTTTATTTAAAACGGAAATTAATATGCAAAGGGGAACATTGTTAGGGGTCACTTAATTTGTTGGTCACAAGACATCTGGACCACCGTGTATAGTATACTACAGGTGACCCCCGCACCTACGATCTCGGGCCCGTGCCAACCACGCCACGCCACTTGACTGTGCCGTTGCCCGGTGAGTAGAACTGCCCGGTCTTCAGTCGGGATCTGAACCAAAAACCCGGCTGCGTGTGCCTCACCTCCCTCTGCACCGCCGCTACCCCAGCTCTCTTTGCAGGGCGGGGGTCGCCTTTGTGTTGCAGGGAGCGGCGCGTGGCGGGCAAAATGATTTAACTTCTTTGGTTCTTTCGGTAAAGTCACGTAGAATGAGAATAAAATAATAAATTGATAAAATAAAATGACACAATAATATTCTCATTCTACGTGACTTTACCGAAAAGAACCAAAGAAGATGAATCATTGCAGTCACGAAAGCTTTAAATCGAAAAAAAATGATTTAAACCAACCGGGAAATAAGCACCAAACGAGCGGGCTCAGACTCAGCACGGCCGCTGAGATGATGAGTCAGAGGAGTCACGAAAGTTAAACAGGAATACGTAACTGGTTGGCTTTTATACAGGTAAAAGTAATGGTGCAGCCCTGACGTGACTTGCCCATGATGTAAATAAACAGCATTGCCATTGTTCCAAGCAAGAGCGGGATGACGAGGTTTGTGGCACAGTTACCTGGGCCTGAGCATGCCTGCGATCTGAAATGTCACCAACTGCAATCGCCTGCAGTAATGCTTTGGTGCCCAATCTCTGATGAGGATATTTCAGGCAAGGCAAGGCAACGCGAGAATGTGACTTTCACGCTCGTGGCATTTTTAGAATGCTTTGGTGACCCCCTATTTTTTTTTTATAACGTGCATTAATCGATGCACAAACTGTTCAGTAAAAAAAATCGTTGATCGGCTTCGTTCGAAAAATAACACGTTAATCCACTCGTGAGAATCATCCTTGATTAATCGAGAGCAATCGGAATAACTGTTACGAAATGAGCAGCAGCATCATTGTGGTAATCATGCAAGGCAAGCGTAAGCCATGAATGCCATTGCATTGGAGAGGGATAGCAGGGACATTTATTTTGTGTCTTTTGCAACAGCCCCATCGAGGAAAAGTTGACAACACGCATTCACAAGTACCCCCTTGCCAAATACCCATGCTTTGTTCTTTTAATAAATGTGAACATTTAAGTATCGTTATTATGGAGCTGGGAAGATCCATAATGTTCTGTGTTCTTGATCTTTTAAATAATGGCTATGTGGTCAAAGCTACTCAATTAGGTCACAAGCAATTACTCATTAGCAGCTAAACACTTGTTGGTAAATTCTCTGCAGCCTTGTTTTTGGCTGGTTTTGGTTATGGCTGTTTGTAAGTTGTATGTGCTTCTGTGCTGATGGATACCTGGCATTCCTGGAGGTCCGATGGGCCCAGGATATCCTTCTTGTCCGGGCTCTCCTGCGGGCCCTCGGGGGCCTGTAGCTCCTGGGAATCCTGGTCCCGTTGATCCAATCGCTCCAGGCTGGCCTGGAACTCCTGGGAAGCCTGGCATTCCCTTGTCACCAACCAGGCCCTGCCCACCATCGCCCTGTCCCAACCAATTACAAGTCAAGAGTTAAAGTAAATTTCCTGCTCAAATGCACACTGAGGCGGTGCTTTGACAACGTTCTACAGACCCTGCGAATTGTCAACGTAGCATTTCACGTTTCGTCATTGGCAACCCGGTTCTGGCCATTTACTCACCAGCATTTTTAGAAATCAGCTGCCCAACTCACGTGACAATCTGAGTAACTTAGAAGGTTGTGGAGATGCCACTTTTTTCGGACCAACTGAATTGCCCTGCATCTCGAGATCACACCACTCAACTCAAGTGGGTCATCAATGGGAACTCAAAGAGTCAAACATAATTTCCCGATCAAACGAGCATTGAGGCGGTACTTGTCTCCTGCTTACAACCCTCTGGAGCAAGTGATTGGAATTCCACATTCCTATTACGGGGGCAAGTCCATTTATAGGACAACAAATTACACGCGGTCTTATTGTGAATGTGTAGACTCTATCAGCCTGAAGGAATTATCGAATTCAATTCAAGTAGATCTATGCTGCGAGCCTTTTTGGTCAAAGTTACAATCAAGGAGTGAGCAGCAGATCTCAGCCAAGACGTACGGGACGCCCTTTTGCACCCGGCTGTCCTGGGAACCCATCTCTGCCGGGCTGGCCTGGTGCTCCTGAAGTCCCCGGGAATCCTGGATCGCCACGGTTTCCTTTGGGACCTGTGCACGACACGACAAAAAGCCCCCGTATAGCCTTCACAGACTGTTGAGGCAAGTGCTGTTAGCGAGCACCTACGAAGGCCAGAACAGCAAATGAGGGGGTGGGTGGCCAGCACCACGCCCTGCCGCTTTTGTCTCTCCAGTGGCGATGTTTACACACCGCACCAGGTACTCATTTGAGGTGGAGTCGACCTAGGGGAGGCCCAGGACCGGTTCAGACAATCGTGACTGGTGTTGGCCGTGGGCGGAAATTGAGTTCGGGTCGCCGCGTTCATAGCGCAGCGTAGCGCTAACCACGACGCCACCGCTCCCTATGACATGGCACACACACACACGCAAATATCCCCCTCTACAACTGAACCTAGTGCATATAAACGTCAAAGGGATTTCCTACTCAATTGGAAATTCCACATGACTCTGGCAGGGGCCGAGCTTCCCCATGACACCATCCCTGTTGATACCCCCCACAATATGATACTCGCTTCGGACGAATGATGGGCTGAGTTAATCCCCAACCAGGATGTGAACTCGCAACCTTCCGATCGCGAGCTGCTCGCTCTAACAAAGGAGCCACCTGGCGAGTGACTACAGCACCACCTCAACTCTACGTACCCGTGACATCACTTAAGTTACGTTTCAAACGGCCAATACATTACGTTACGTGCACGAGGAGAGCAAGTGTGAAGCTGCGTGGTGGGATTAACAACGGAGCCAACACTGCCCACAATCCGGTGCCTTCCATCTCTCTCTCTGTATATTGGAGCAGTTTGAAAAAAGAAATCAATTTCAGGACTCTCAGCAATTCTGGTCCTCAGCCAAATAATGTTTTTATTCATCGCTTAGGATCAGCAGCATTGCATGCGCGCAGGAACACACCTTGCAAAGTCGCCGTATCTTAATTACGTGGCAATGATTTGCATGGTGGAAACGACTTCCCCATTAATATGTAATGCAGTAATGAAAAATTATATTCCTGCGGCTATGCTGCGAATGTAGTTATACAGTGCGTGAAATATGCTGTGTAATAAATAGGCTCCTAGTAACCACATAAACGGCTTTCCTCTATCAGCTATGTGGGAGTCACTTTCTGCTCATATGAGCATTGTGGCAATTTATGCTAATCTCCTGCTTACAGCCCAGCACAGCCAGTGGTGGAAATTCCACATTCCTGTGGTGGGGGAGAGTGCCACTATAGGGCAACCCTTGTTTTCTTCCCCACAAAATGCAAACAAAATAATTTGTGGATTATAAATCGTGTTCCAAAGCACAAGATTAAAATGTGACGCTCGAACTGAAAAAAACAAGATAAAATTCGAATTGAATAAAGGCAAAATATGTATTTTAAAAGAATGGATTCAAGTGTTCAACAGCAGACTAAAACAAATAGAATATATACATCATGCTTTGAAATAATAAGAATAATCGTTTCTAAATATAGAAAAAAATGTGGATAGCCAAATATGAAAAAATCACTCGCAAATTGCTTGACTGGGAAACTAGGAACAATCACCACCCAAGCTGCAACAACCTGGCAGGACCCTTCTAAAGAACGAGCCTTGAGACTCACTGGGCCTTTTCTGGGAAAAACAATCGTAGAAATAATAACAATGTAAATGGAAAATCCTTAGGTTTCAACTCGTGATAATCTGAAACTAAGTCTGGATAAAATTGCGAAGATTAAAATAAATCCCCCACACCGCAAATTTTTCCACCGCACCTCCGATGAGCACGGTTGGCTACGTACGGTGTGAAAGAAGTTCAAAATACATACGTAAAAAAATCTAACAGCATTGTGCATTACAGAATTAACAGCAGACAAACTTCACGATAGAAGGTCATCGGCGCTGATGAAGCCCTCCAACGTGCCGCTCACGTCACTGCTGGCAGGAGGACCTCCGCTAGAAGGCGCTCTAGAGAGCTCCTCTAGAATGGATATTTGGCCTACTCTTCCACTCTGCCCTACCGCACGGGACCTGTCAATCGCCCAAACCGTGCTGAACCCATTTGTACTGCTGGGTGGAAATAAAAAAAACATGCCCCATTGCTTTAACTGCCATGCAGGGAGATCTTAACTATAATTTGTTTTATTTACCAGGTCAGGCCCACTGAGCTACATAGCTCTTTTTCAGAAGCGACCTGGGCACATGTGATAGGTCAACGAAGTAGCTGAATCATGCGGGACATTTATTGCAGCCAAATACTCTAAACGCACGTTTATAAATGTGGAGGAACCGGAGAAATATCCACGCGACCATGGGGAGAGAGACATACACAATCCAAACATACTGCAGGCGTCAGGGTCAGAATCGAACCCACAACCTCCTGCATGCCAGGCGAGGGAGTTAACATCTCACTAACCGCGGCAACCAGCAACCCCTGGGTTGCAAGTCCGGTGTGCTAATAAGGACACCATGTCCAGCCAGTGTGTTAACCATCACACGATGGCAGCTTATAAAACAGAAGACTCACCTTTCAACGTTGGGATGTACGAGTCTCCTTTCTGTCCTTTGGGTCCTTGAATACCAAACTCTCCAGGAAAACCCTAGACGGACAAGACAATATGTTGACCCACCCATGATGCAGTTTTTCAGTCTTAAATTGATAAATATATCTCTATTTTAAACATTAAATCGGTTAATCTGTTGATTTTTGACTGTTAACTTGTTAAATTGCCTACTACTCAATGCCGACTAATGTGAACCGATTAAAATACGAATGAGAATGTTAGCGCTTAGGTTTTCACAGCCACTTGTAATCCCAGAGTGGTCAACCAGGTGTTGAATTTTGGCATAAAACTCGGACTGGAAATGAGAAGAAATTACTGGGGGAACTCATAAATGCCACGCTCCTCTCCCCAGGATCTGGACCGTACCAACTGAGTGTGAGCGAAAGGGGGGAGGCGAACGCGAACATTAACGAATACATTACATTTTTGCTTGTTTCTGCAGCATGTTAATTTAAAACGATAAAGCAAGCTTTTATATACATGTGAAGTTTATTCGCAGACCTTTTACACAATTGTATGAATATTTTCCTCCCATGTACAGGGAGATCCAGAGCGTGACACATGGGCAATTGCGAAAGATATCTTTAGATTTATGTAGACTACTTGCCGGTACACTTCTGGAACTAAGTCTGGTAAAAATGTTCACTCCCCCCCATCCTCCACGGTATTATGGGTCGCTCCGACCCATTTCCACACCTGCATAAAACTACCACGTCATCTGACCCAAAATCTAAATTCGGATCATTGCTTGTGCTGTGAAAGCCCATTGCTTCGAGTCTACTGAGTCTCACCCGACTTCCTTGCTGGCCAGGATTGCCGGGGAAGCCGGGATCTCCGGGTAACCCATTCTGCCCGGGATAACCTGGGTTTCCTGGTTGCCCTGGTGGACCGGCTAACCCTGGCGGTCCAGGAAATCCGGAGTCACCATCGCCACCATCACAGGCGCAGTCGCCCGGGTCTCCTGTGCGAGAGCGCAGAAGCACGGGCGCGCGATGAGAGGTGGACGCCGAGGACAAGACCAGAGAGATTGAATAAAATATGTGAATAGCAATGGCTTGGACATGCCCCTTGTCAACTTCTGGGAGGAGAGTGTAAACCGGGCAGGGGGTGGGGGACATTCAAAGGCGCGAAAGGCAGCGGACAAGATGTGGGATAGAGGCGAGGCATCAATTCAGACGAGAACGTTTTTAAAACGCGATTCATGTACAAGTGCGTTTTGTGACACAGGTATATATATAGTGACACGTAGATGTCGATGGTCATCTTAGCCCGGGGAAGGATGCGCAGTGAGTGTAAGATAACGGATAGGTCCATAGTTGGTGCCGAGGTGTTCAAGAATGTGAGGATTTTTATTTATTTATAGGCATATAAATAATTGATGTATAAACATATCACGTGACAATGTGAGGTATAACATATGCGAATAAAAAAAATGCACGTTGATATGCTTCAATTTGCAAGCGAATCAATTTTTATTTGCCAGTGTGGAGATAGACGGGAGAGGGAAGGGGAGTGAAAGCGAGGTAAAGAGGTGGGTACATGCACCTCTTTACAAAGTGTGGGTACATGCACCTCTTTACAAAGTGTGGGTACAGCCACCTCTTTACAAAGTGTGGGTACACCCACCTCTTTACAAAGTGTGGGCACACCCACCTCTTTACAAAGTGTGGGTACACCCACCTCTTTACAAAGTGTGGGTACACCCACCTCTTTACAAAGTGTGGGTACACCCACCTCTTTACAAAGTGTGGGTACACCCACCTCTTTACAAAGTGTGGGTACACCCACCTCTTTACAAAGTGTGGGTACACCCACCTCTTTACAAAGTGTGGGCACACCCACCTCTTTACAAAGTGTGGGTACACCCACCTCGTTCCAAAACGTCAGGCCAGAGTGCGAGTGGACAGAATTCCTTATCGGGCTCCTACTAGTGGAGCCCTTTCTGCCAGCGGTAGCGTGAGCAAGCAATTGCGGGGCTGCGCCTTTCCCTTTCATTACTTTAATTATTTTACTTTGTAAGGTCGCACTCATTGCACACAAAGCGCTCGCCACAAGTGAACCACAATACCTTGCTGATCTCGTCAAGGAGCATAACACACTCACGCAGACTTCGGTCATCCTCGCAGCGGCTTTTGGCTAACCGTCGAACGAAGACGGTCACCGCATCGCGCGCTTTCAGATTCAGCTTCTGCGGCTGTCTGGAATGCTCTTCCTTCCGATATTAGGAAACCACTGGAGCTTCGAACTGTTAATGAATCTAGATTGAAAAGTAATTTCTTTAGAACTGCTTTTTGTGCTTAGTTTGTTGTCCTTCCCCCGCACCTCCGATTAGCACGGTTGGCTACGTACCGTGGAACAGAAGTTCAACATATATACATTATACAGGAGGAGTATGTATTGTATTATTATTGCAGAGGACAATGGCCTCCGATTACACACCTTGATCTCCTTTGTCACCGGCCGACCCAGGATGTCCGTGAGACCCCCTGGGGCCTGGGTCTCCAACTTGTCCGCCACCCCCGTAGTTAGGGTCTGCGTGATCGGCAAGCACAAAAACGATAACATCAGGGGGGGAGAGGCAAAACACTCCGTGGCTCGAGTCGCCGTTAACCCAAAGTTACATTCGTCGCGACCCACCCACAGCACGCGTCCTTTTGAACCCGACAATTTGCGCCATACGTGCACAGCGCTCGTGTTCGATCCGCTGCTGGCTGGACGCGCTCCTCCGACGAGCTGTTGTGCGTCTTGGGAGGAGCGGGGCGGGGTTGTTTAAGGCACGCTCCCTTCACCACGCCGGACACGTCGGGTTAGTGACGGTGGCGGGAGCAAAAGCCGTTGTGGCGTAGTGCAGTACAACGATAGATTGTGACGCACTGCCCTCTGCTGACAGGGTAGCCCTGCAGCAGCAGCAGCCTATATCACCGTTTAGTGCACGTTGGTGGCCGCACATCCGAGCGCTCTCCAGGCTCGCAACCGCTTAACTTCCAAAATCTGACGATACTGCAAGAATTCCAGGCGATTTGGTCACAGGCTTAAAACAAGTTGACCTGAACGGCCTTCCCATCCTGCATGCGCCTGGCCATTGCTAATGCACATTCCAAGTAAAAATACAGAGAACCGATTAATTTATGTCCGTGCTACCTATGACGTATGGGAGACACGTGCGAGCAAACGTGCACACGCACACACGAATATATGGAAAATTTGAGCCATCGCTCTCTCCGTAGCGTAACGTGTTGACAATGTCCACACACCCAACGCTCGCTGTTGCCTCCACAGCGGAACCACCAACATGTCACTAGCGGCGAGATGTTAACTACCTCCCCTGGTATACAGGAGGTCGTGGGTTCGACCCCCGACCCTGACGCCTGTTGTATATTTGGAGTTTTACATGCTCTCTCTCTCCCCGTGGCCGCATGGATTTTTCTCCGTGGCCTCCCATTTATTCCCTCCACATTTATAAACATGCGTTTAGAGTATTTGGTGGCTAAAAATGTCCGCGTGATGATAAGCCGCTTCATTGAGCTGTCACTTGTGGCCAGGCCGCTTCTGAAAAAGAGCTACATAGCTCAGTGGGCCTTGCCTGGTAAATTTTAAATACTTTAATAGTTTAGTACTAAATTGTAGTGCGTGTGTGTGCATGTTTGTTTTCATTACCTATTATTAATTGTCCAGGAATGCCCGGGGGCCCAGAAATCCCTGGGAAACCGGGAGATCCGTCGAGTCCAGGAAGACCGGGCAATCCGTAGCCAGGAAGGCCGGCATCTCCCTTCTCTCCCTGCATCCCTGGTGATCCTGGGGCACCAATACGCCCTGCCTCACCTGAACATAAAAGGTTGGAGGGGGGGAGTGTGAAGGGGGGAAGGTGGAAAAACAAGGGGGGGTGGGGGGGGGCATGGGTGCCGACCGTCGCCGCCCGTGTGGCAAGAGCATGGCACGAGTTGTAAATAAAAAAAAGCGTGTTTTGCGAAACGTGTCCTGGACATCGCGCGGCTGAGGAGTGCGTTCCTTCCCACGCGTTGGATGGGTGAGGGCGCTGCGATGGCGGGATGTTATCTCGCTCGCCTGGTATGCAGAAGATCGTGGGTTCAATCGCCACCATAATGCCTGTATATTTGGAGTTTGCATGTTCTCTCTGCGGTCGCCTGGATTTTTCTCCGGGTCCTCCGGTTTTTCCCTCCACATTTACGAGCGTGCATTGCGAGTGCTTTGGTACTCTACATTTCCACGTGATAAGCCACTTATTTGAGCTATCATTTGTAGCCTGGTCACTTCTGAAAAAGAGCTGCGTAGCTCAGAGAGGGCCTTACCTGGTAAAATAAAATAAAAAAAAGCTCATAGTTTAGATCTCCTGGCGAGTGTCCATCGGATAACGCAATGAAACCGTACGAGCCTGAGAGCTATCCAGGCGTTGCTAGTCCACAGGGAGCGAGAGAGGCTGAGTGTTGGCTGCAGGGATGGGTTTACGGTGAGGATGCAAAGGTGAGGGTTGGTTTTGAGAGTTGCCACCTATCCTGGTTATCCCAGGACGTAGCTGTCCTGGGAAATCTGCAAGTCTAAAGATACGGCGGTCAAAATGCATGTACGTGCAGTTATGTCCCTGTCTCCCGGTATTGTGAGATGTTCCACTTCCCACGATATGTCCCATCGTTCCTTTTTTTATGGTTGTTGTGGCAATCCTATTTGGTTTTGAGATTGAGTTTGTCAGATGACCAGGTGGATGATGAGGCTGCCGACTTCCACGTATTCGTGGTAGCGAGCTCACCGGCACAGCTCCATCGCGCGAGGCACGGCACGCCGGAACGCCGAGTCCGCGACCTCTCCCGCTCCGAGTCCTCTCAACCCCCAAGCCCGCCCCTTCCAAGATCCCCACTGGCCTTCGCTTGCAGACAAACCCTCTCGGACGAACTTTTCTTCGCCACAGGTAGCTGCTGGTGAGTGACTGCTCCCCTATCCCGCCCCCCCCTCACCCCACCGCACTGCGTGTGACTAACCCACGGCCATAAAAAAAAAGTTAAATCACAAAGCTTCAACAGCTACGAGGGAACGTGAACAAGAATCCATGGGGAAATATAGAGCGGCAGGAGCTGGATACTTGGCGTTATTTGCCCTTTGGCCCTGTGCTCGGCAATCGAGATGAGAAGGCGCGATCGGGACGTCCAGGCGATTGGCGTGACATGCGTATCTCGTCCGCCTTGCGCCCACTTGCCTCTTCCAAACGATGGGGAGCCGGGTTGCCCAGGCAGCCCAGGTTGGCCCCGGTACCCAGGGTCTCCCTGCAGGCCGCGGGGCCCACTCGGACCGGGGTCACCGGGGGGCCCTGTGGAAAGAGACGTCGCGCAAGGCATGGCAGTGCCGCTGACGCCACGTGCGGAAGATGCGGTGACGCCGCGTCCTCACAGCGTACTGACGTCGCATGCAATGAATGTGACGCGAGTCCCGCCGCTGTCCCTGCTTGGCCCTGAGACAGATTCAGATGTTCTGTGAGCCCACAGCATCATAGTTTGGTTATGGCTCTGCACAGTAAATAGCCAGTGGGAAAACCACCCATACGGTGAGGGCCCCAGGCTGGCTCGGCTCGAATGTGCCAGTGGAAAAATGGGCAATATTTGCCCAAAGCGAGAGGCAACGTGAACTCTGCGACTAGAGCCGGCACGTGACTTAACTCTGTTTGACAGGGGAATGCAGCAGGGGCCTCAGGGAAGGAGTAGTGGACAGCCGGGATCATTGCCCTCGCTCTGTCCCGTGTGAAGCCTCTTTTCCACGCGGCAGTGTCCAAAAGCAGAAACGTACAGAAAAAAACGATGGCTCGCGCTTACCTTTGGTGATTCCATTTTGCGACAGGAAAATGGTGGGACCGGCGGGCCCTATTTCTCCTCGGTCGCCCTGTACATGGCAGGAAACGCACCGTGCCGAGCCACTCAGCGAGGATACCGGACAAATACCGTCGGCTGCAAACAGTGCTATTTTGGTGTAACTTTTTGGTGTTGATTTTTTGGCAAGTCGACCGCTGTCGGCCAGAGTTGTACGGCTGTTTCTCGGGTTGTTTTGATGCTGTATTGCTGTTGTTGCTGTAACCATGTTTCTATAGAGTAACCAGGTCCCCATCAAAAATTTGCATTTATAGCCCAATGGGTTTGAGCTGTGCCACAATAAAACCTAAAGACTGGCCCCCCCCATTGTATAAATGTGAATTTGTATTTCTGCTGGGCTTGAAGCTGCAGATATAGACGAGCGTGGATCCAACGCTTTAGGCCGGCGGATTTCAAATCGTTGAGGTACCCCGCTCTGGCAAGGGTCTGTTGAGCATTTCAGGGCTGTGGCATGGATAACCGTGCAGGATAAATGTCGAGCATGTAGCAACAACGCACACTAATACACAGCATGAAACTGAGCACCTTGTCGTGGGCACGTGCTCCTCTTCATGTATCCGTGGCCTTAGTAAACATAGTGGTATTAATGCGGAAGCCACAGAGTAACAATGCCCCCCCCCCCCACTTCCCCACTTGTATGTGTTGTGTTGAACCAATTTTTGCATGCGTACGTAGCCAACCGTGCTATTCGGAAGTGCGGGGGAAGGACAACAAACTTAACACAAAGAGCAGTTCTAAAGAAATGAGTTCATGCCAACTTGCAGACTGGCGCGTGCCGCATTCTCCTTGTGCCTCACAAGGGACAGCTGCCAGCAGGGGGTGAGGGCAGGGGGGACGTCGCCTGCCACAGGGCACCACAAGATGTACAGCGTGGTCAAAGCAGAGTAAATATTGAGTGACCAAGAAGATGAGAATTTACCTTAATCCCAGGATTGCCGTTCTTTCCCGGGATGCCAGGGTTCCCCATGTAGCCCTACAGTGTCATAAACACAACATTACAAATGTCGTTAGACATGGGAGGCATGGTGCGACTCCAGTCTTCTGGGGCCCGTCCCTTTACCTACAGCAACTTAGGACGTTAACCTGTTGAGCATGGCATTGGCAGATGAAAACTCATGCTACGAAATGTATGGTCGCAGATCAACCTCGTTACTGTTTCAATTACGGTGTTTTAACATTTGAAGGAAAAATAATTGTATGTTGCCAATAGCAAGGTGCCTTTAAAGAAATAGCCAAATAGAGATGTTACATATTTCAGCAGGAAGGGCTATTTGGTATCATTTCATGGGCATCCTGCGACGGGACGGAATAAAGTTTGACTGACTTGATTGAGATCTAAAAATAGGTTTAACCCTTTCTGGCAATAAAACAGCTGTGTTAAGATGTTAAAACACCAAACAGAATCCTTTTGCAAGGAATCATGTCTGCATTAACCACACGTACTTGTGGTGAACATGCAAACAAAAAGATACGCTGGTAATGTTTGCATTGTCTTTGAAGCTGATTGGTCCCCACCCGAGACAGTCTTCTTTAGAGCCTCGTCTCAAAGAGTGTGACACCAGAGGACGCCAAAAGGCGGACAGCACAAAGACAATGCCACTATGAGGGCATTCATAGCTCGGGGTGAGCAGCTACATCATGGGACCCGTGCAGACAGGATTCTTTGAAAAAGGATTCTGTTTGGTGTTTTTAACATGTTAACGCCTAAAGCTTTCGTGACTGCAATGATTCATCTTCTTTGGTTCTTTCGGTAAAGTCACGTAGAATGAGACTTTACCGAAAGAACCAAAGACGATCTTAACGCCTGTTTTATTGCCAGAAAATGGCATGAAAGGTCCTATATTGATTGAAATCGTTCAGGGGTCAGAACACTCGCTGAGCCGGAACCGCTGAGTTCCTGGATTCTTATCTGGGTTTCAGCCGGCCCGTGACTAAACCAGGTTCTTAAGGTGTAAGTGAGCGGATGATCATTTTTACTGTCTCGTGATAAACACATCTCTGCGTAAGCATGAAAACTTGGACGTGTGCCATGTCACCAATAGCATAATTGGAATAAGACTGGTGAAAAATATAATTTTGTCAGATTTAGAGGGGGTCTCCAAATACGCAGCCTTCCTGCCCAGTGAAACCCAACACCGATTTAAATTCCACAATGAAGCAGGTCATCTTTCCACGTGGCAACCCTTCCCCTTTATGTAACGCACATGATATTTTCAGTGGCACGTTTTAGCAACTGTATTTGAAAGAACAATCAATTTTTAAAAATTCTGAATGCATGATCAACAGAGGATTCTCCATGGACTTGCTCCTGCCTATCTCTCCCCTCTCATTTCGCTCCACTCCCCTCCACACACTCTCCTACCTCTCTCTCATCTCACTCCACTCCCCATCCACACACTCGCCTACTTCTCCCGTCTCATCTCAGGGTGGATTGGTGGCACTGCAGGTGTAATGTAGCAGGCCATGCAATGCTTCTGCCCAGATGTCTTCATGACTAAACCAAAACAAAAGTGACTCAGGCATGAGTGGCTCGTCGCGTGTTTCAAGGACTCACCTTTGTTCCTGGTTTTCCAGGAATTCCATCCTCTCCAGGAAAACCCTGGAAATTACAAAAAAAAATATGTATATATGTGGACGAGACAAAACATATGGATATCGGTATAAGAAATGATTCATTTCGGCTGGGTCTACCTGGATTGATGACCCGGAAAATATTTATGCATCCGGCACATCACATCAAGAATACCTCTCACAGTGGCTGGTGTTACTAGTCACGTGCCACCTACTCTGTCTCGCAGGGAGCCGGGAATTATTCAGTGAGAAATTAAGCCCTGGATATCAGTAAAGTTAAACAACAAATACAATTAATCGATTAAAATATTACATAACGCTCACAAAGTAAGCAAATAATTTGCAAACCGTATGTTATTGCTACGTTTAAAGCTGATGTGCGGAATAGATCTGCACAAACGACACAGAACGATTGCAGAAACAATATACACAAGAGAATAAAAACACGGGCAAAAAAAATATCGAGTTAAAAAAAATCTAATTGCGCGTGCTTGAATCACGACAATTCGTCAGATCACTGGGAGGTCGAGTCTTGATGCTATATCCCAGCGGTTCCCAACGTGTCATCCGCCAGGGCGTGTGGGATGCGGTCCGTGGAACCGTTGCAGATTTGTCGATTTTTTTTTCTTCACAAAACACCGAACAATGTATTGCTCATAATATTTAAGACCGGGAGCAAGTGAGGGCTTTACCATTCTGGCGAATTGCCCAATGAAGCTGGATGTAATTACCAGCGAAACGTCGTAGTCAAATTTTAAATGATGTTGATTCACTCTTCAACACACCGGTGGGCTAAAGTAGTGAACTATTTGTCCTTTGTAAACGTGAAACATTTTTTACTGTTTGGCCGTGTCGGGTGGTGGAGGGTTACGACACATTTATAAATAACGCGATCTAACCCAAAAACCTTTATTATGAACAATATTGGTCGCGAAAGCCTACGTGTTAAAATGTATTGCTCATCGCACGGCTATCCAGTGTGGCTCGGCAGGAGAGCAAGTGGCTCGCAATTGGAAGCTTGTTATTTTTATTTCTCTGGCTGTTCAATCAACATTTTCCGGTGCTTGTAATCGGGGCCACATTAAGGCGTAAGCTAAGTAAGCTGCCTCTAAATACGAACAAAAAAATAATAACAAGTTTTAGGTTTCACACTCTGTAATCGATTGAAAAATGAAGGCGATCGGGAAAAATATTCTCTCAAATGCTTACTTTCATTCCGATATGAAAAAAAATATACAGTCCTCGATGGGGCATCTTAAGCTTGAAATAGTTAGGGCCCCAGCGTGTCATAGTCTCGCCCTGCTTGTAATATATGTAGCAAATTTTGTTGGTTCAAGGTGGCCCGCGAAAATATTTTAAGGGCTGAACAGTTGTCAAGGAGGCCAAGAATGGCTGGGAGCTACTGCCCTACCCGAAGTCTCGTAAGCAAGGGGCTGGGGTTTACTGTTCATCCCTCCGCGGGTTCATCATCAATTCGTACGTCAGCTCAGCAGGAGGGCAGCCTCCTGGCTCAGGGAGCAATGTCAAAAAGAGTAAGCGAGCGGCTGTGTTAGGGGGTCTGCTGTCTGCGATGTGGCCAACAGGGAGCGCCATGCGCCACAAGGTGGAGTCCTGCATGGGGGTGGGTCGTACACGACGCCAACGTAACCCGCACACGTGACCCGCACGCGAACAGGGGAGCCGCACCCACTCGCGCTATGCCCTCCCCATTCAGGACTCTACGGCAAACAGTGGCAGGTCACTATCTCCAAACTTTCAAAACTGGCCCTTCTACCCACCTGTGGTGCAATAGATACCAACCAAACGTTAATGCAATTTTACGCGTAGGCTTGTTGTGGGTTTTCTCGCCATCACACCGGAGTGCTGAAGTCATACCTAAATGGCACATTTTGTTCGCGTGAAAAACCCCTACTGAAGTGGCTGCGTCGGGTGCTGGGTTAACGACTAACGCGATCGAACCCAACAGACTTTATTCTGAACAAATGTTCATGATCAGTTTATTTGACGTACAGTATTCGATACGTTTGCTTGGTATGCCAAATATACCATAACCAGCCTGGTGGCTCAGCTGTAGAGCAAGATTGTGACTTCAAATCCTAGGTAGGGGCTGACTCAGCCCATCATCCTTCCAAGGGTCGATAAAACGAGTCCGACTTTTGAGGCAAGTAAACAGCGGTTGTCCTATGGATAGATTCGTGCTTGCCATGGGAATGTGGAAATTTCACCACTGGCTCAGGGCTGTAAAGAAGAGCTGAGCACCGCCTCAGTGTTGAATTGAGAAGGAAACTGCAGTTGATTTCACTTTCAGTCAATTAAATAAAATTCATCGCGTTGCCCTGGTCGATTTCTGGACATTATGAACATACTCTTTGGTTCTTTCGGTAAAGTCACGTGGATATAAAATAAAACAATAAATCACGACGTTTCGGGCGCAACACACCTGATGACGGACGCTTGTGTTGCGCCCGAAACGTCGTGATTCATTTAGTTTTATTTTATACCTACGTGACTTTACCGAAAGAACCAAAGAAGTATGGATTCCTGCAATCACGAAGGCTTCAAATCAAGATTATGAACATAAACAAGGATCTGTTGAAACGAGTAAAAAAGTAAACATGTCCGTCAGACTATCGGTCGCCGGGAACAATATCTTCCAGCAGTATTTATTTAAACAATCACACTCTGCTGGCGATTCTCAGAAAGCCCAAACCGCTGCGGGGTTTGCTCTTCCGAAACCGGTGTTGCTGGAAACATTTGGTTAGAATACCCATGGGACTGCCAGTCCGGAAACGTGATTTTTTTTACTTTCACGCGCTTAAATGAACCCTTGTCTGTCTCTTTATATATTTAGATTTCCCCCCATTGTGTTTTTGCGACCACGAAATGCTTAGGAATAAACTTAGACCTTTAAAAAAACATCCCAACTAGCTTTTCGAAGATTAAGGCCAGTGAATGCAGTATAATGTTCAATTCATTCATTAACCCTCATGCTTCTGTATTCTGAATTGTACGTTGTTTAAGAAGCATACACAAATATAAAATTTTCCCAACTACAATGCAAGGAACAGTCTACTTGAAAATGGGCTTTATGTCACTTAATCAAGCTGCTACTACTGCTACGGTATTGATATTCCCATATATACTTTATTTAAGTGGTAGATTAAATAAACCCCTTGTGACAACAGGAAACAGCAAGGGTGACCTGGGTTACAAAAATAACAATTTAAGAACCACAGTATATATTTTAAAAAATATTAAAAATCAACAAATGTGGACTAAATAAAATAAACATTGATGCTGCACAATGTGAACAAAGCTAAATGAATGGTAAAGTGGAATATCATTTTTTTTTCTAATAAAATCGTGTAAGTGGCATGTTTGCGAGGACATCAAAAACCTACCCTTGGGCCAGGCAGACCTATAATTCCTTTCTCTCCCAACGGCCCAGGAGGCCCTGGGGGGCCCTGAAAGTCAATAAGAAAACAAACGTGAATCATCAAACAGTGTCGTCTAAACCACGGTGGCCAATCCACCAAGCGCTGGAGGATCTCATCCAGCTCCGCTGCCCACCAGACAGCTATGACACAACAATGGAATTAACCCTGCGATGTACTCGAGTCACAAAGTACTGACACCATGCATTGGTAGATGTTGTTATTATCACCATCATCATCATCATGTTTTTTTAAACGCGTGAATTCATAGCCGGTGATTTTCATTCGCCGTCAGCCGCAATGAAAGTCTGCTCACGTCGGCGTTTGCTCCGATGGATACTGAAATCCACGGAAAAGTATTTTTGCGATCCACCCGTGAATCATGACACACGCATTGGTCACCGCTGGCCTAGTGACTCGGAAAGTGCACATGGCATACGACACGCGAAATATAATTTTGAGGAAAATGTTAATCACCCATTTGTTAACATGTAAAACTTATTCAACATCATTATCTGCCACCGTGTATCCACATAAAGGCCTCTCCATGCCATTAATATCCATCACTTAATTCCATGTTTAAGTAACAACTAAATAATAATGCAAGTCACAATTTTACAGGCCTTTCTTAATTCACTGCTGGATAAAGACCTTCCTATGTTCTGACGTCATAGGGAATAGCTTGACCATACTTCACCACGATGGTCAATGCGGTTCAGATGTTGCTCGCCAAAAATGTTAGCTGTGGCCCGGAATTAAACTAAGGTCACCGGGCTCATAGCGCAACGTGCTAACCGCTGGGCCACCACTCTTCCCCACCGTGGTCTATGTACACGAATGAAGCAGTACATTAGGTAAACACAACGGTGCAGTCCTGAAGGTACCCGCTCATGCCATTGCTGGGCTGTGTCCTCCTCTTCTACGTTGCAAGAGGTGGGAGTACACCACACTTTACCCCACCAAACGCGACCTTTCGATCGACTAAAACTGCGGCGTAGCCATTCATTACCGCTGGGTGGACAGAGGCGGGCAGGCGATTTCAGAAAATTTGCATCGCCGTTTCAACGTCCGCTCCCCCAAAGAACCAACCGGCACCTGCGGTTTGCGAGTCGGAGCGTGCCGACCGTTACGCCGTCGCGTGTTTGCGAGAGAGCCGGGGTGCCGGAAACTCACGTCGACGCCAGGTATCCCGAAAGCGCCGGAAATTCCATCAAAGCCTCGGTCTCCCTGTTTGCGGAAACGACAAACGGCACGTGCACATCACCGCGGGGTGTTTCTTTGGAGCCAGCTGCCCAGGATTGGGCAACAACAAAAAAAACCACCGAGCCCCACTTTTCACCCAGGCACACGCAACACGTGCACACGCTAGAAATTAATTGCAACCAGCAATGACTGCCTACTGCTACGTCTTTAACAACAATAATAAACTTTGATTTAAAGCTTTCGTGACTGCAGGGGTTCATATTCTTGGTTCTTTCGGTAAAGTCACGTAGAAGGGAAACAATAAAATAATAAAAATATAAAACAATAAAATTCTCACGACGTTTTATATTTTTATTATTTTATTGTTTCCCTTCTACGTGACTTTACCGAAAGAACCAAGAATAATAATGAACTTGCATAACTTTTATCAACACACTCCTGGATTGAGGTCTTCCCAAGTCAATTTGGTCGGACGGGATTATTTGACCATACCTCACCACCATTGCTGGATTATCCTAGTAGCAAAAGTATCTACATATGCTACTGGCCCCTCACGAGCTTAATCCGGTACTGCTCACCACGCCGGTCGATACGAGCTGGTGAAGCGGGCCTCAGAACCGATTTGGATATCACACGCCAACTGATCTCCCCGTCACAAATAATGTGCAATGATGAAAGGCCATTTCCCGAAACGTCACCTATTATATATATTTTTTCCTTTTTAAGGCTCTTTACTTGACATTCACTTCATTTATTTTATTTGATCTACTACTTACCTTTCTTATGCTATTTGTTGCCGCATGGCTGCACCCTATTTTGGGCGCAGTTTGTAATTTAACTCTGCTCGGTCTGTGTTAGCCTCCGAGGTCGTGACGGGGTTTCCGTATTCATTCCCGTTGCTCCGTGCCCCACCCCCCCCATGTACCATTCCCGTTCCGCTGCAATGTTGCACCGATGCACAACTTTATTGTGGGCGACATTGGCACGTAAAACGAAGACCGATCAATCGGTTGAATGCGTCGAGTAATTTTTTTTCTTGTACCCGCTCATAAACTGCATTCCACCTTCCTCCTACCCCCCCCCCCCATCCCCTCGTCTTCACTCCTCCCTTCCTTAGACCCCCCCGGCGGCCTTCCGTGTCCCACCAATGTATTCATCCAGCGGCCGCCACTGCGACACCGAGACCTCTGATTGCAAGCTGCATCGGGCGGAAGATTTTCACACTCGGCGGTCCCGCGGCGTGGCGCAGGATTAAGGGGGCTGCGAATGTGCCGCGCTTCAGCTGATGAGTGCTCCCATCTGAATCTACAACAATCGCTTTTTGCGCGATTTTTGCGTTTCCCCCCTCCCCCACCGCTCGTGCGGGCAGTGCGGTGGAGATTCACACATCATAATCACACACACAGAAAGGGCCGTCGTCATTTCTACGGTAATTACGGTTGTAGAAAATATGCCTTATTTGTGGGACAGGCCGATGTTTTGGCACGTACGATATAAATGCATATATATATAACTGAATTGTACATCAAAATTGAATGTTCCATTGGAATCCCAGGAAGCACCGATATACACAAATGAGGCTGAGTCGACGTTGGGAAGGCCCAGGACTGGTTGAGGTTATCGTCACTGATGTTGTATGTGAGTGGGAATCGAATTCAGGTTGAGTAGCGTGCTAACCACCACACTACCGCTCCCACAAACAAAGATAAAGACAAAGATCACCCGTATTGCCTTAACAGACTGTAGGCGCAAGCGCTGTTAACCATTGCGGTACTACACTCGGCATACACACAACGCAAATACTTGAGTGGTCATGGAGTTTCAGACAAGTGGGTGCCTTGGCGTGACAATGTCGGTGCCTGACCTTGTCTCCACTCAGCCCCTTTAGCAGGGGGCTGGTGCCAGGCCCCTTGACTGGAGAGCCGTTCCAGGGAGGACCAGGAGGGCCGACTTCACCCTAGCATCGGCACAGCACGGTAGGGGGCGCGGAGAAGGCAGGGCCAGAGGGGTTGAGAGAACGAGTTGAAGTTTATTTTGTCTAACCAGGTGTGAGAACTCAAGAGACCAGGATGGAGGAATGTCACTTGCAAGAGAGTTTCGGGTCACCCAAAAACGACATAAAAAAGATGCAACTTAACATAAAGCACAACAATGAAGTGAATCGAAATCGGAGCAAAAAACAACATAGCAATCGGCGCAAAAGCAATCGCATTACAAAAGAATTGTGAAACAGTGCGTGAACACAAATGGACATGAAACGGAATACATTTCACAGAATAAAGGTCAGCTTGGATGAATTACCTTTCGAAACCGTTCTCACCTGGCTAAAGCAAAAATAATCTTGAAACACGCAAAACACGTGTTCATCTCAACACAGCAAAACAGTTTATTTACGGCTTCACCGGAGGCGCTTTACATCGCATAACGTCCGCCAGATCTCACCTTTTCACCTCTTTCTCCTTGGCGTCCAATACCCGGGTTGCCCTGTTCACGAACGCAACACAAACATTGCAAAGATCCACTGTTATATTGTTATATTGCCAACTGCTAATCCTGTACAGAGACTCCTCTACTAACGAACTTTCAGAGATACGAACAAACCTGTCCCGTATGTCAAGTTGCCTGCTCGTACCAAGAGTCGTAAGTTCAATCACCGTGCAATAGATGGCGGTGGTGGCATCTACATCTGCAGTACGTGAAAAACCAGTGGGATCTACGTCTACAGGAGATTATACAACTTTTACATTCATTCCCCGTTGTTAGTGTGCATGCCGTACAACATGTTTGGAATCGACAGGAACAAAGTTGGACTAACGAACAAATCGACTTACGAACAGACCTCTGAAACCTAACTCGTTCGTAAGTAGAGGAGTCCTTGTACATGAACACGTCACGGTGACTATTGTGCAAAAATAATAATATTAGCATATAGTTGCAATCTTAACACAACATCGTTCATGCCCCTTGACTATAGCGACACTAGAATATGCGACGCAAAAGTTAATATTCTTTCACATGGAGGCGTGGGAAAATCACAGGCAAGCGGGAAGTCCGCCAAAACCGCCGCCATCAATTACCCAAGCTCTGGCATCCTGTATTGGGATACTGGCCAACTCTACGAACGTGTGCTTATACAGCAGAACCCCTCTTAACGACCATCCCTGTCAACGACTAATCGCTTAACGACGGGCCTCCATAGAGCCCAATGCGTAATGTATAGTGTAGTGCATAGTAGTTGTACAGTGTAGTGTATTATAGTGTAGTGTATAGTAGTGTATAGCAATGTATAGTAGTGTAGTGTATAGTCGTGTATAGTGTAGTGTATAGTAGCGTATAGTAGTGTAGCATATAGTAGTGTAGTGTATAGTAGTGTATAGTATATAGTAGTGTAGTGTATAGTAGTGTACAGTAGTGTAGTGTATAGTAGTGTAGTGTATAGTAGTGTAGTGTATAGTAGTGTATGGTGTATAGTAGTGTAGTGTATAGTAGTGTAGTGTATAGTAGCGTAGTGTATAGTAGTGTAGTGTATAGTAGTGCATGGTGTATAGTAGTGTAGTGTATAGTAGTGCATGGTGTATAGTAGTGTAGTGTACAGTAGTGGTCCCTCCATAGAGCCCACTGTGTTTGCTTACCGACCATTCCCCTGTTAACGAGAGGCTGTAATATTAATTAATGCATTGATAAAGCACCGATTTTTTAAATATTATGTGTTTACAATGTTATAATCATCTTTATGTATTAATATCCATTATCTAAATCTCATAAAGTACTTTTTTGGATGAAAAATTGTAATTTTCGATGCTATCAGAACGAATTAATCCTTTAAACGTGTATTTCCTGTTTCTCGTTTAACCACCAAATCACTTAACGGCCGGTTTCGTGGGACCAATGACCGTCGTTACGAGGGGTTCTCCTGTATATGTCTCAGGAAGACGTAGCACCCCGAGAAAACGTTAGGTGGGGGGTGAGGTGGGCACGGGGGAGTGACAGTGAATCCCTCCACAGATGGAATGAGCCCGCTTGTTGTACTGCCACCACATCCTGGAGATGGCATGTGGTTCACGGAGGGAGTTACACAATATTTACGCGATCCATCAACCCGTCACCTCCACGGCGCTCGATTAGAGGCTTGCAGCGTAAGCCACCAGCGCCCGGCATATATATAAAAAAAAACATTGCAAACACTGTAAGCAGATGAACGTTTCAATTTTACCATTTCTCCTTGCAAGCCAGGTGGGCCGGGTGGACCCTACGAACAACATCACATAGGAACTGATTAACTGTCTTGGCAATTAATTGAATTGTCAGAGCAAAGCACAACCAGGCGCAGCACGCAATTCCGGTTACAATTTTGCAGCATCCCAGAGAGGTAAGGGGTCCTTGCAACAGCGGCAGCAGCAGATGCATTGTGGTTCTCGTCGAACACAAGCGGAGCCGAGATATAAACCCGACGCCGGTCCTCGGCGTGTTTGTTTGAGCGGCATTGAACAGAGCGGTGCGAAGTCAACTGAAGAGACCACCAACAGCGCACTGGCCCCCCTCCTGTGCTTATCCCGTCGGCAATGCTCTCAGAGGGGCCAAGGGAAACTTCTGGCTGGAGCACAGCCAACGTGGAATGGTAACCAACAACAAAAGCCCCCACGAGTACCGAGACGCAACATTCCGCTTTACCCGACTGCCTGTCGCGCAACTTCTCCCTGCCGTGTGAACGGGCACATTTTTTGAACCGTTTTTTGGCAACGCGTTCCCACACACTGCGATGCATTCGGACCGTGCTGTTTTTTTCTTCTTCTTCTATTTTTTTTTATTAAACGCAGCCAGCGGAGCGAGCCGTGGAGGTTTTGCGTGTGCTTCTGGGGCGGACAGGTGCTATTGTAACTCGTCACGGGACAGTGGGTGAGCTCACGGGGCAACGCACAGTCTCGCGGCGTGGCGAGCGCCAAGCCTAAATGGCATTCTTCCCCCCCCCCCCAGGGAGTCTTTCCGAATTTTGGCAGATCGTCGCTGCATTGAGGCCAATATTTTCGGGGGGAGCGGGCGCGTCAAAGTTTTCAAAACTGGAAGGCGTTGTTTACGTTTCTCGTCTGGTCGGTTTCTCGCTCGCTCGCTCGGTTGGTTGGTTAGTTGAAGCTGGGTTACATCAGAGTCGGGTACAGGGTTGTCACAGATCGACGTCCCTGACCGTGCACCCTGAAGCCCCCCGGGCCGCTCCGCGTTCGTGCGGCTGTTCGGGACGATTCGCGAAAGCGTGAAATGCGGGGAAGGATCCGCGCGTCTCGCGGAGCGATCTGCCAGGAGTTAGGCAGTGAGATGCGTTATTATTCACGCTCCCGCAATGCCTTTGCAAGTCACTGTGGGAAAGTTGTTGAGGACACAATGGCCTCAACGCTGAAGCAAATGCCCACCATCATGGCTGTGGGATTTATACCAATTACAAAGCAGTACGGAAGCTTGGGGATGCCATGGTAGCGAGTTGTTAACTCCCTCGCCTGGTATGCAGTAAGTCGAGGGTTCGATCCTGACCCTGACACCAATAGAATTTGGAGTTTGCATATGCTCCCCGTGGTCGTGTGGATTTTTCTCCGGGTCCTCCGGTTTTTCCCTCCACATTTAGAATTTTCCCCTCTACATTTAGAATTAACATGCATTTAGAATATTTCGCTGCCATGAATTTCCACGTGATAGGCCACTGTATATTTGGAGTTTGCGTGTCTCTCTTGCCGTGGTCGTGTGGATTTTTCTCCGGGTCCTCCGGGTTTTCCCTCCACATTTAGAGGCATGCGTTTAGGGTATTTGGTTGCTATATATGTCCATGTGATAAGCCACTTGTATGAACCTGTCATTTGTGGCCAGATTGCTTCTGAAAAAGAGCTATACAGCTCAGTGGGCCTTACCTGGTCAAATAAAAAATAGTTTTATAGTTTCGTGGTCATAACGGCTAACCCCCCCCCCCATAAATCAGAATAGAAAATAGGAAATCAAAGTAGACAATGGGAAATCAGAGTAGACAATGGGAAATCAGAGTAGACAATGGAAAAATCAGAGTAGACAATGGGAAATCAGAGTGGACGATGGGAAATCAGAGTAGACAATGGGAAATCAGAGTAGACAATGGGAAATCAGAGTAGACAATGGGAAATCAGAGTAGACGATGGGAAATCAGAGTAGAGGATGGGAAATCAAAGTAGACAATGGGAAATCAGAGTAGACAATGGGAAATCAGAGTAGACAATGGGAAATCAGAGTAGACAATGGGAAATCAGAGTAGACAATGGGAAATCAGAAGCATCGATTCTCTTTTGCCTCATTTGCACTGTTTGTCTCGTTTGTGCCGTCTCCTTTGCGTTGTGTGCATCGTTGATGTTGCCCCTATTGTGTGATCTATTGTCTTTATTTTGCTGTCTGTCTTGGGCATAGCTTGTGCATCTTCAAGAATTGTCCGCCTCGATTGGTCTGCCTTTCTCGTTCGTATGAACCGCTGTGATTCCTGTCCGTCGAGTTCCTTACATCACAAAAAGCAAGCTCAGAATTAATGTGACGTCATAACGAATCAATTCCCACATAATAATAATTTACATTTGTAAAGTGGCGCATTTCACCCGTAGATCCCAATGCGTCGCCGTGTATGCAAAGCAGGGAATAAACAGAACCAGCCGGGTAAACGGCCTGCACTTGGGCGTGAAGACCAGTTTAAAGAGGTGAGTTTCCAACACAGACTGAAACGTATCGAATGACTCTACGAATTGCATCGTGTGTGCGACCCGAGTCCAACCCATGACTGATGGGTGCATCGCCGCACACGCCTCCTCGGCAGGCCAAGGAGCTACGAGTTTTTGCACTCGCGACGCTGGGGATGTCTCCACGAGGGCCAGCAGGGGGCGAATGTTACGCGACGCCACTCGGCCTGCCCTGTGAATTCTTATTGTACATTTAGGCAAGGGGCGGGCGACGCAAGCCCTCTGACACAGACATGATGGGGGAGAGGGGTGCGGAGGGGACGAGGCCTACAGCGGAATGCACGAGAGACAAATGCAGATGGTATGGTTACTCATTCTGCTTAAGCGTTTAAGGTTTAAATCAAAATTCGTTTGAGGTTTGTTTAACGTTTGATTGTGTCGTGCCCGCCCAGAGCTGTTGAATGCCTCCACACACACCCCCCCCCCCCCTCTGGCCTCAATGCAAAGGCCAACTTACAGGGAAGCCCAGAGGTCCTGGGGTGCCGGCTGGTCCTGGTTGCCCCACAAATCCGCTCTGGCCCTGAGGCCAAAAAGAGAACAATACAATGAAACAATGCAACGGAACAACACGACAACAATAGCCCATGATCCAAGGGGGTTGAACGGTTCCTAACTGGGGTGGCATATGCTACCAGTGTCCAGCATAAACAGAAATCTTTGTGCACATGTCGTCTGTTTTACAGACGAACGTAATATTTATTTGCACATTCTGGAGACGTTTCATATCTCGTTTTTGTTTCGTCCTTATTCTTAAATGACATTCTCTGTCAAACACAACCACAGTAACCTTGTGCAATGATCGTTTTCCAGAGATAGCTACCATGGTCGCCTTGCTATCATAAATTTGTGCGCTCTTTCAGTAAAATTCCCCAAAGAAATCACTGATAGCATCTGCCACCCTGAGTGGTACCAATAAGCAATTTTTGGGCCAATGAGTCAAAAGCCCAGTGATGGCAAATGAAGCCACATGAGCAACAACTAGCCTTCTGATTCCAGGCGTTTCATTGGTAAATTGCAAATCAGGTAAACGTAAATGTACAATCATGAACGCCCACTGCGACCCCCCTCTCACCGTCGCGGTCAAAGGAGACGTCAAATCAGGGAATAAACGGACGAGAGAACGGCCACGCAGATTTGGCGTGTGTGCCGGGGCGAGGCAAGCGGCTCGCAAAGAGCACCGATTGAGCAATTTGTCATTGTGAGGGCGGGGGAGGCAAATTTGGCTATTCGTGACCCACCCTAAATATGGACGCATTCGTACGCACACCCATTCATGCATGCGTACGCGCACAGTGTAAGATGATGAGAACGCTCAGCAGGGGAATTCTAGGGTTCAATTGACCATCAGATGTGCTGTGAAACACCACAATGGAAAAGCAAGCACAGTGGTTGAAAAGGGGCCCTAGTGAAGTGGCGGAGGCTGGGTTGGGGTCAGCGGGAGTGGGAGGGCGACTGCTATTCACTGATTGGCTAGCTGATTAGGGTTCAAGGCAGGGCTCTAGCATTTCATTGGCTGGTGTTCGACATCTACGATATGCTTTCCACTCCTCCCTACAATGAGCGTTCGTTTCCATTTTTGCCCAGTTTTATGGATTGCCATTTCGAGCGCAATCAGCAAAACCACAGCGATGAAGTGTACATGTGTATGCATGCACGACTATAAGTGCACCTTGCCTGGCACAAGCGCTGTGGCGAATGGCAGCTGTTGTTGTTGTTGTGGTGCAGTGGCACAACATAGCAAACGGACTCACAGCATGGCCATGCAAACAATGTGTCCAGATTCATTTGTTTTCTGTGCCCATTGTCAATAATTTTTTAATAAACCGGGCGATACTGGCAGATGGCACCAAGGTACACCGTGATTAAAAATATATATTGTATTCACTACTGCCTGTCTGCGTCTCTCTGCTGCCACAGCAGCGGTGCATTGTGGTTTCGCGAGTGAACACCGGAGTGAACCGTGTTGATGATATTGCAGACGAAAATATTCAATCGTGTTTTTAGAATACATTTTTAGCTGACAATGGCTATGAGAGGATGAAAATCAAAACCCAGCGTTGTGGTGACGACGACTGACGATGATGCGCCAAAATGAACGAGTCCGAACTATCACGCAGACTAAGATCATTTTGTAACATCATTAGAGACAGCAGTGCACTGAGGAATATGGACAATGGTAAGGTGGCTTTACATGTAGTTTACACTGATTGTTCAAATCAGTAATTGACAATCGGTTGTATGTATGCGTGTTGAACTTATTTTCCACCGTACGTAGCCAACCGTGCTAATTGGAGGTGCGGGGGAAGGACAACCAACTAAACACAAATAGTTCTAAAGAAATTACGTTTCAGTTTATAAGTTCAGCTGGTAATCGTAGGGATGTGGGTGAAATGTCTTGACCCTCACACCGACATTTAACAGCTAAGACAGGACTAAATGCATGACTGCTTTAGTTGGACTAAGAGAACGATTAAATTAAATCCACAGTGCCAAGATGTTAACTCCCTCGCCTGGAATACAGGAGATCGTGGGTTTGATGTCGATCCTTACGGCTGCATATATTCGGAGATTGAATGTTCTCCCCGTGGTCACGTGGATTTTTCTCCGGGACCACTGGTTTTCCCCTCCACATTAAGAATCAACATCACGCGTTTAGAGTGTTTGGCTGTTATACATTGTCACGTGATAAGTCACTTCGTTGAGCTATCATTTGTGATAGCCAGGTTACTTCAAAAAAAGAACTGTCTATCTCAGTGGGCCTTACCGGGTGGAATAAAAATTGTAAAATAGTTAAAAGTCCACACACGGAGACCTGACTCGATAACAACTAGACTAAGGCTCATAGCAAAGCAAAGAACTAAATAAACGCGGACAAAATGACCACTGGAGGGAAGCCCCCCCAGGTGTCCGAGGCTCCTCACGAGGGCCCCCCCCCCGCGACTCCTCGAGTGTCGAGGGGATGCACAACATCACGTCTAAATGTTGTGTAGCCACCAGACGGGAGCCTATCTCATCAGACTGGAAGTGCAACAGGACTCACGGGGAGCCCATCTTGTCCTGGGTAGCCATTCTCTCCCTGCAAGAGAAAACACATTTTCCAGTGTGTATTTGTAAAAAAAAAAATACAAGCCCACTTTATGTTCAAATTATAAGAGCAAAAAAATGTGGGTTGAACGATAACGGATGAATTCACAGACAAAGACTTCGTTTTTGTCGTCTTGTACTTAAAAAAAAAATTCCGCCATTGTCCAAGTGTGTTAGAGAACGGCCCGCTGAGGGTGATTTCCCAGACCTACTTCTGCGATACATTCCAATGACCTTTTTGTTATAATCCACGTTAACAAGGGAGCAGAGCATTCTCATCTGCTCATGTGCTCATCTGCAGAGAGGCATGGTGCTGTAAACACATGACAGCAAACCCGATCATTTTTTTTATTCTAAGAGCTGGAGCTTTAAGCCAAATGGAACGAAAAACCAGAATTCGTGTGATGTGTTTCTGGCCAAGGCCACCCAGTTGCAGGCAGGCGCGGTCTACACTTTGAGCTGCACAGAGGCAGTTGCCACTGGCGTCTCTCACGCTGGTCTGCCGTAAGGCATTGGAAATGGATTTAGATGAAATGTGAGATGCCGGGGCAATCAAGCGCCACCTATAAATGCAAATCTTTAATCCTTTTTCATAATCCTTTCTAATGTGAAACCATGGTTTTTGTTGTGCAGCAGCAGCAAGATGACGTGACAATGTGAAACTTGTGGATTAATGTACCGTCGCGCCCTTGTATCCAGGAGGTGTGGTGACAGGTTCTCCTTTCTGGCCTTTAGGCCCAACTATTCCCTGCGTGAAACAATCACACAGACACAAATGCATTGAATTCCATTCGAAACATTTGCTTTCCCTGTGCTCATTGAAATATTAGTTTTCTTAATTATAAACGTTGGCTTTCAGGACCAATATTATGATTCGTAATTTAGTTTAATTCATTAATCCTCATAGCTGGGAAATAAAGAAAATGTTAAAGTGCAGCCCTACAATTTATTTATGATACCACTGCTTCCAGAAGGGCTGGCACTGGTCTAGAGAACCTCTTGAGATGATGTTCTGGATTTGAAGCATTCGTGACTGCAGGAATCCATACTCTTTGGTTCTTTCGGTAAAGTCAAGTAGGTAGAAACATAATAGATCACGACGTTTCGATCGCAACACAAGCAATCGTCATCAGGTGGGACAACCACAGCAAGAAAAAACTCTCCCCCCCTACTGCCGAGGCCTGCTATATAACCTCGTGCCACGGCAGATCTCTCGCCTACTTCAGCAGTTGCTTCTTGCTGTGGTTGTCCCACCTGATGACGATTGCTCGTATTGCGTTCGAAACGTCGCGATCTATTATTTTTCTACCTACGTGACTTTACCGAAAGAACCAAAGAGTTTGATATTCTGGGTCTACTATTCCACACTGGTCAGATGTATTGCAATAGGTGAGAGTGGACACAATGTATCTCCACAGACCCCCTGAGCCCTGGCTGAGACCCCCTGAGCCCTGGCACAAACCCCCCCTGGGTCCACTTCCCATCCCCAGCGCTGGAAAGCCCTCCGGACCCTGCGGCCGATATATAGACTAAACAAGTGGGGGTCACCTCTCGGTACCCCTATACATTCGTGCTGTTGGTTAGACAGAGGCGGAGGGATTTTACAAACCAATGTTTTAACTTCAGTACCGGGAGATCGAATCAAACGTACACCTCTGGATTGCCAGCGTGCTCACACTTACACAGTGGCAGCAGCATAATCTCCTAGTTGCTGATATTTCAGCGAATTATACCACGAATCATTACGTAGCAAAAAAATAATAATACGGATATGGATTCTGTGGTTTAATTGCATATTCTCCCCGCGTGGAATTTTCTCTGGGTTCTCAGGTTTTTACCCTCCCCATTTAGAATCGACATGAATTTAGAGTATTTGGCTGCTATAAATTTCCACGCGATGATAAGCCACTTTGTTGAGCTATCACTTGTGAAAAAAGAGCTACGTAGCTCAGTGGGGTCTTACCTGATCAAATAGAAAAGAAGTTTAGTTAAATAGTTTTAGCATACATTGATAAGTTATTCATCTGTACGTCTGTTTTCAAAAGCGTTTGTATTTTTGCTGGCGATGGGAGGGAAGCTCACCGGGCGGCCCGACGATCCGGGGTATCCGTCATCTCCGGAGAAACCGGCGTCTCCCCTCGTGCCGTTGCAGCCATCGAGGCCGGGGATACCCCTCACTCCGGGCTGGCCAGGGTGGCCCTAGATGCGCACGCAACGTCAAGTACAGGTAGAGTGGTCGCTCGATCTACGACCGTTTGGTTGACAAAATTTCGCTACCACGAAATGTCACCGAGGCCACGCGCTGCCGCGAGACCATCAAGCGAGAAGCCACGCGGGAGGCTGCGCCGTCATCGTCCATCCGCGACAGCGTCACGTGTCCCCTGCAGTGCAACAGTCACGTGCGTCACAGCACGTAGAACTTCTTTCGCACTGCGCGTAGCCAACGGCGCTAATCGGAGGTGCGAAGGTGCAGTGACGCTTTCACGTCAGCTGTCCAGTCTTTCCAACGTGCCAGCAGGATCTTTTTGGCGAGTTCTCTGAAGAGGGTAATAATTTTGTGTTTGAAATTAATTCTTATGCAAAATCGTTTGAATATTCATGTTCTTCATGATGATTATTTGTATCGTGATGTATCGTTTTTACGTTAGGAGTAGAATTGTCCGAGACACATGCCTAATGTTTCGTATCAATTTAATCGGAAAATCCATTTCCGCATTTACGAAATGTAGTTTTACGCATGTCTTTTGAAGAACGCGCATCCCTTTCTTAAATCGAGGGATACCTGTATTGTGGAAAATCGATAAACGTGTCACGTTAGTTTAACACGTAGGCTTTCGCGATCAATATTATTCATAATAAAGGTTTTTGGGTTAGATCTCGTTATTTATAAATGTGTCGTAACCCTCCACCACCCAACACGGCCAATCAGCAAAAAAGTGTTACGTTGACAAAAGACATAGTTCACTACTTTAGCCTACCGGTGTGTTGAAGAGTGAATCCACAACATTTACAGTTTTTGAGTATGACGTGTCACGTTAGTTACGGCAGAAATATGCGGATATTTATTGCAGCTGTTTTTTTTAACATCTCTTAGGTTATTTTAGCTCAACTGTAAAACATTTATTTAGTAAATGATGTTTTTATTTTCTGTAAAGTACCCTGAGATGCTCTGGTAACAAAGGCACTCTTTCAAAAACATCATCATTATTATTATTGCTATATTTCTAAGCGATCAATGGTATTCATAATTGATTATTTGAGTTTAGGCCACGTAACGATCTGACCAAATGTGTGTCGTTGTGACCCCTCCACTACCTGACACAGCCAAACGAATTTAAATGTCGTGTTGTTCGATCGTTTAAAACACACCGATTATCATCGTTCCAGCTGACCGGTGAGTTTAAAGACAATTCTCACGACCAAATCTAAGCGACTCGGCACAACGCTTTTGTCAGAAGCTGCCTAGAGCATCTATGAAGATGATGCCGTTTACGATAATATGAATTATAGCTACATAATTGTCAAGTTACAGCTTAAAAAAGAAATGTTATCCGCTTACTGATTTTTGCAGCAATCGACGTAACTTTGTTTGTGAAATTGCCCCCCCCCAAAAAAAATCGTATTACAGCCACATGGCCATAGCAGTGGCACAAGCAGAGACAGATTCTACTTAGAATGATGCAAACTGCATTTCAGCAGGGGGTGCATGGTCTGTGTCTGCGCTTTGTTGATCGGAAACACGAAGCTCAAACACTTTCAGGTCCCTAAGGGGAGCTCAGAGTCAAACGGGCGGCGGGCGGAGAAATTCCCACTCGGCACTCTACGCAAGACAATCTTAAATTTTGATTTAAAGCTTTCGTGACTGCAGTGACAATCTTCTTTGATGACAAACTCTACATTACAATCCTCACATTGCCATCCATCACGCTTAAATTTCTTTTTTTTTTTAAGCAGCATTCCTCCCACTATGGGCCCGGGGGTGCTCGTCGGTTGTGTAAAAAAAAAGCGGGGTTGAGGTTCGGTGGAGGGGCCTTTCATCCGTCCCCTCCTTTGCCGAAGCCCCTGGAATTGGGGGAGCGCTCTCGAAAAGCCCTCCCCTAACTCTGCAGCGGCGAGAACCTCGCATCGGGCGAGGCCTCGTCAGCGGCCGGGCGCGGCCTCAAACCCCGGCTGCCGCGTCCGTCGGCAGCGTGCCGATTACACCGCGGCTTTCACGGAGAGCGAATCCTTCGGCTCGCCCTCCAAAGAGCCGCCCCCCCCCCCCCCCCCCCCCAACACCGCACAGCACACCGCAAGCGGCCGTCGAAATTTGCGCCTGGCTTTTGAAACCCATACTTCTTTCATTTTACGTGATATCTAGATGATGATTTTATCGTATTGCTTTTGATTTGCTAGGCCGACCAACTACCGCGACCATGCTTTGTGCATCGCGTGCTGGTCAGCCATCCATACAAATGAGACGAATATATTTTGGGGGAAGCCTTTAACGACGCTGATCCTCTTCCCAGCATTTTACAGCTTCATCAGTACGATTATGGTGCGGTTGCAGTTGTTTTCGGTTAAAGAACAGGTGGCCTCCACTCACCGGAACACCATTATTACCAGGGAAGCCTGGGACGCCAATGGGGCCCTGTGAAGAAAGAACATATTGAAATTAAAACATCTTACAGGTCAAAAGGTCATCAGTTTCATCTACCCGAAATAATGCCTTATAACTTGACCCAGCAACGTTTGCGTTTGACCAGCACACAAGTGCCTACCACCCTGAAAAGCATTTAGGAATGAACAATCAAGGAATGTAGTAATTATTATTGATAAATATCATTACAGAAATTTTTAAAAAAGCATGACAGATATATGCGTGTGTCCCCTCACGCAATCAAGAAGACCTGGCCAACTCACTTTTTCTCCTTTCTCCCCGGCAAAACCTGGGGTCCCTTCATCTCCTTTCCTTCCCGTGGCGCCTGATACGCCCTCGGGGCCTGGAAAGCCTGGAACTCCTTTTGGTCCCTGAGGGCCGATGGATCCTGGATGTCCCTGCAGGCAGGCAACGAAAGAGCACGCACACTTTGCAACGCAATCCCGTGTCGGGTCAAGCCAGTGACGCCTTCAAAAAGCTTTCTCCACGCGCTGCTTTGCTGCGGGCATCTCCAGCAAGTCGAAACGATGCCCGCAGTAGCGCGTGGCGAGAGCTCGAGAGAAGATGGAACACTTAAGGGGTGGCCCAGCCCAGGAGAAACACACTTCTCGGATTACAAGCGGCTGCGAAGATCTGTGTGTGATCGACGGTGGCTCTCCTACGTGAACGAGCCAATGGGCCAGCGCCAGTGTTGGGAGTTGCTCGGTCCGTAAGAAGGGTCTCGGTCCCTTCGTCTCGCTCTACGCTACTTCTCGCTCTCCGCGTTCACAATCCCAGATGTCTCTCTCCGTTTCCCCCTCCTCACTGTGCTCAATCACGGTCCCGTTCCTTCTCGCTCTCAGCCCCCTCTTCACCGGAATTGACTCCCTCTCTACATGTCAAACGGTCAGCCACTCTCACGATCTTTAGCTCCTCCTTTAAAGACCCATCTAGTCTCGCTCGCCTGCCCTTCCTCGTCTACCCCTCCCCCGCGTGTCATCACCGATACCCTCCCCGTCTCCACGGTCATCCTCCATCGACTCGTTCATCTTGTCACCTTCACCTCCGTTTGCCGTCACGCATCATCCTCCTCATATTCACAACATTCACCGCGCCATTCCATCTCGTCCCATGCCACGGGGAATGTTTATGTACCATCGTTAATTCACTGTTAAAGCGCTTTAGTTAAAGCGCTTTATAAGCGTGATGAGGTTAAGTTACGGGTCACAATGAAGGGAGCGTTAACAGCGTTATCAACTCCATTCGGTTTGTTGTTGTAACGTTGCAGCGACCTCCAGTGGCTGGAGAGGTTCACGTGAAGCATATTGCGGATAATATGCAGGTCGATCCATTTATAGATAGCGCACTGAATTGAAAAAGGGCCCCCTCTACCCAGCAGGTGACAGAACATTGCGCGAAAGCGATGGGCGCAGGGTCTTACCGAGGAGAGCGTTAGACGATTTAATATTGGTGGAGACGTGCCGAGGCGTTGGATTATTTTCCATACAATTTCTTGCTGCCACTTCAGCGGGGTATCTACAAGCGAATTATCTCTGAACGACGTACCGATTTAAACAAAAAAAAATCCTTCAACTAATCCGAATCTTTATTTGAGACTGGAGGAAATCCGGTGAGCTGTGAAACTCTCTTTCTCAGATGTCCAGCATGGGCGAGTTACGTTCAGATGGGCCGCATCACTGAACACGCCTTAAATGGTGGAACAGAAAAACCACCACCACCACCAATTCTCTCTCTCGTGTGCCCGCAGCAGACCTGGGACATTGGCAAACAAACTGCCAACATGATGCACGCCAGACTCCGAAATCACCGCAACGCGCCAGTTTCTCAGACGCGCCAGTAGAGGGCGACAGAAGCACGCGGAATGAATCCGCACACAACACGCCCGCCCCCCACCTCGCAGCTCAGCTCAATAGTCAGCCAAAAAAAAGTGTGTGGGGGGGGAGCGGTAACGTAAAGACGCGTTTTGCCCCCCCCCCCACCCCACAACTTTGCAATTCGAATTCCCGCGAGCTCGGGGTGACCTCTGCGGGTTTCAATGTCCGTAGAAAGAAAGCGGACGAACCCACGGGCCACGCGCAGAGGGGTCCTCTCCTTGCAATGGACCGTCTCAAGCGGTGGCGCGGCTGAGCGGCATCCGAGGGGAGGGATTGGCAGGAAGAGGAGGAGGTCATTCGAACGCCCTGTTTTTTTTCCCTTCGCGCCAGCTTGTGAACAGACGTTTGGAATGTCGCCGAGGAAAAGAAAGGGGAGGGGAGGGAGGGGGGGGCCTTGAGTCGGGGTGCATGTACAAAACTCGGTGCTTTCACGACATGGATAAAACCTGCCAAACGGGTCGCCCCGTCTGACAGGAGTCGCTCCTCTCGAGGGATCAGCGGCGAATCGGAGTCCTCTTTTTATTTGTTTCAATGTTTCATCGTGAGTGCACCTTTGCGATCTGAGTTATGGAGCCAGACACAATTTTTTTTAAAATATATAATCTCCATGCAACGTGGGATTTCGAAGCGAAACCTCGAACAATTCTTATTGTTGCCACGTGCTATAAACCCGCGTGCTGTCTTCTTCCCGTAGCCCCGCCTCCTGCGAGAGGGCATTTGCAGTGAAAAACTTTCAACGCGTCCTCCATGCATTTGCCTTGTATGCGCATTCACGAAAATACATTTACCGTATTTAGTCAGAAAAGCATTGACACAATCTTAATACTCTTTTTGTTTTTGCTCTCTCTCTCTCTCTCAGGAGGGTTCTTGTGCATTTGGATGTTTTGTAAAAATCCGCCGCAATTTTTTCTTCTTCAAGAAGTGTCCTCACTCTTTAGTTCAAATCAAGTTTGAAGTGTCCTTGGTCAAAAATGAATAATCCGTGGAGCGTTTTTTTGTTACGCCTTTTGGGGACTGTCCTGCATTGCTCTGTTTGACCAAATTCATTTCCGAGGAGTGTTTATTTTTTACGTGAGGGATGAAAAACACGAGAGTAGCCGGAGAAAACCAACACCGAACCAGGTTTGAAGCAGGCGGGTTCACAATCCCGCTTGCTGTACCGCCATCTGATGGCCACCCCACAGACAAGTGCCTCTGTCACAAATTCTCTACGTGATCGTGCTCCGCCAACCCCTCGCTGGGTCACACGAGTGTGTTCGTGATCCACCAACCCCTTTGCTGGATGACACGCGTGTGGCCTGCCACGCCCAGCTTTGTTCTCCAGCGTTTATGAACGATTAGTGAGTTCCTGGTGGTCGTGGAATCAAAGCCCTCTACCGAGGGAGCCCCCATAACAATAGCTTCTGCTTGTGCAAAACAGGAAACTTGGTACTATGTTCAGAAGTCACCTTTCATGGCCATGAGACCCCCCCGAATGAATCACGTCTTCCCCTGACCTACAGGATCACCTAAAGTCTCGTTATCAAGCCAACGGTGTTTTTTTTTTAAATATATGACCTTGGAACAGCACTATAAGCCGTTCCAAGGCGTGAAGATACCCAACTGAACACTCAAATCGGGTTTTTTTTCCCGTTCTGTAGTGAATCCTCAAGGTCAAATTGTGCACGACGATTGATCTCTCTCTCTCTCTCTTGACAATTAGATGGATGTCCATGATTCAAGGTCAGTCACGTTTCGCTTTAAGACGTAACATTTTTTTTTATCTTGCATGGATCGTAATTTTTTCCGTGTGTCTCGTTTGCTCTGGCCCTGTAGTCACAACAGGAGCACACGGAGTGCATCATAACTCACAACTATCGCTGCATGCATCATTGTGAGCGAAGGAATATATTTGAACCGATTCAATTACATTTATTACATTTTACGCGTAGGCTTTCACAACCAACATTATGGTTCGTAATTAGTTAAATTTGGGTTAGATTGTGTCAATATAATAAAATTACAAGAATGGAATTGGCACGCTTTGTCGACGTGACAACCCTTACTAGTTGGCTGTGTCGGGTGGTGTCGGGTGGTGGCGGGTTTTAACGACACATTTATATATTTACGCGATCTAACCCAAAAAAAACCCCTCTATTATACAAGAACATCACACCAACGCGGCGTTGTCCGAACGAAATAAATTACCAATCGATTAATTATGCGCTCGCACGTAACAGACAAATAAGGCGGAGGTAAAAAAAAAACACACGCAAGGCACAATGCCACGGCGACTCGATTTCTGCGGCTTGGAGAGACGCCACGAGGTTATTTCCATCGCCCTGCAAGAACGTCATTCCCGGCGGTGGAAGCCAGGATCTTTTGGGTGGTGGGGAAGGTGGGGCAACGTTTTTTTTTTTTGAACGCACGCTCGCCGATTGTCGCTACGCTGCAGCTCTTTCTATCCGACTCGTGCACAATGGCGATAATTGTGTTAGCAGGTTAGCGTAGCAGCAACAGCAGCAGCAGCTACAGCAGCAGCAGCAAGTACGAGCGTGCTGTGGGGGCCACAGGGACCGACGCACACCTGCCACTGGAATGAAGCCCGGTTCAAGGGCTGTATTCTGGCAATTCCAAGGCATGTCACCGCACGCAGGGCACAGCGCGCACAATACGTTCCTGCAATTTCACCAAGGTGTACGTTGTCACGTCAGGCTGTTTAAGTCATGCACTTTAAGCAATTTGAAGGGGGGGAAATAAATAAATAAAAACGCCACCGCAGGACAAGGCGCTACGTAACGGTAAAGTTACAAGTTTCTCGCGAGAGCGAAATAAAAAAAAATGCAGGCCGAGCAAAATCGGCATTTATTGTCGCAGCTGTTTATGCACACCGGGCCGCTATGCGCTGCCCGGTTATGCCATCTCGGAACCACCTGGTTCCGTTCCGGCAGTGGAATTCCTCGGAGATTTGGGTTTGATCGAACCGGCGGTTTTTTCGCAAGCTGGGTGTCCAAGGGTTTGGAGGCAAACAAACGGACGAAGCATTACCCATCATTCACGCTATGCATAATTCACGTTATACATCATTCACGTTATGCATCATTCACGTTATACATCATTCACGCTATGCATCATTCACGCTATGCATCATTCACGTTATACATCATTCACTTTATACATCATTCACATTATACATCATTCACGCTATGCATCATTCACATTATACATCATTCACGTTATCCATCATTCACTTTATACATCATTCACGTTATCCATCATTCACTTTATACATCATTCACGCTATGCATCATTCACTTTATACATCATTCACATTATACATTATTCACGTTATACATCATTCACATTATACATCATTCACATTATACATCATTCACTTTATACATCATTCACTTTATACATCATTCACTTTATACATCATTCACGCTATCCAGTATTTACGTTAAATATCATTCACGTTATACATCATTCACTTTATACATCATTCACGTTATACATCATTCACGTTATACATCATTCACGTTATA